TCTGGAGCACACAGTGATGCACTTACTAGGTGCAGTTCTGAAATGCACAGGTCCAAAGGAGACTCATTTCACCTGTGTGACAAGATACTACTCCAGCAGCACTATAGAAAGCAAGGGAGGATCTCCACAAAACTAGCACTTTTGTTAGTTCATTTGTCTGTTGTGCATTCTTCTGCTCTTTACTACAAGTCTTCTAGAGAAGGATCATTTTGTCAGCTACAGAAACAGTTTCTAAGAACGAGATACAACTTCAGCTGGTGCTTGCACCATGCAAAACTTGCACAGCAACGTACTGTAATCAAGAGCTGCTTGGGTTTTGTTCTGTGTTGGGTTTTTTTTGTTTTCTTATCCTGTGAAATGTTTCCTCAACAATCCTTTCTTGCATGAAATCTCCTCCCAACTATTTTTGCCTTTCTTGCAGAATTCTGAAAGATTGAATCTTGGTTTTTGAAAGATGAATTTTTCAAGTATTATTTCACTATGCAAAGTGGGTTTTAACTGCCAGTGAACACTAAAACATTTTTTGTAAAGCGGCGGAGAAAACTGTTCAAAAATAAAAGCTAATTTTAACATGTTGACTCAAACTTCAGGTAAATGGCAATCTAATTGCATGAAGTGCGTTTCCGTTATACTTAAATACAGTAGCATGTGATTGAAACTAAAGTCAATTGATCTCATCTTTACAAAAGCAATCTTATTCTAAAATTGTGCAAAATGTTTCATTTGGGGATCAGGCTCTACTACAGATTAATTTTTTTTATTGCTAAGTTCCTCATAATTCTCTGAAGTGAGCATGACTCTGCTATAGAAGTTTTTTCCCACTGTGTTGTTCCCAGTCTGGCCCTTTAAACTCATGAAGTGAGATTCCTCTGGCCTTTTGCAGTTGGCTGCCCATTACCTTTTCTCTTTTTTAGCTTGCAGTATTTGAGTAGTGGTTATTATTAGCTGATATATCCCAGCAGCGATTGTGCCAAGTATTCCTTTCCATAGAGGTTTGAACTCAAGTTGTCATTTTAATTCCACAATACTGCTTGTGCGGAGTCCTCAGTATGTTTAGACAAAAAGCTTTGTGTGATGGGCTGTGTGTTGTGTGGTCTGACTTACAGGGCAAGCAGAGCATTAAAGGGCTCCTCCATGTGTATGAACACGCTTTACAATTTAAAGACTCCCAATGGCTTGACTCTCTGCAGTCACTGCCATTAGTTCCATTTCTGTCACGGATGCTGTTCTGTAGTTTATTGCCTATCGTTTCTTCTCCAGGGTTTTCATGAACAAGAACCATTCTTGTCCTTGAAGTGGTTAAGAGTAATGAAGTAAATTCACTTACCAAACTTTTAAAGATTGTTCTAGATCAGTTGACACCAACTTAATTCTGATGACCAGGCTGTTCTAGCAGGCTTAAATAAACTGCATGTGTCTGTGTCTGCACTTGATCCTTTTTTAAGCTGCTTAGGACTGTGCCTCAACGTATGTGTAGGGATAATAAAAGTATTGCACAAAAGAATACAGAAATTGCATCTTCCTCCCTCCTATTAAAGATCCTTGCTGTCAGGCATTTATTCTAAACACTCAATTTGTTGAGCAACTGCAGACCCTCTTGGTAGTTTTCTTCTGCTACAGGCTGAGGATAATAATGTGTCCTTATTGCACAGGGCAATGTTTTGCTTTACAGGTACCAGTTGTTGCCATCTACATGTGTCATCAGGAGGTATGTCTTTTGTTCAAGAGCACTGCAAGAACAAGCTTGCTCCCCCCTGAAGACAGATTACAAATATCATAATCTCGGTTACCTTTCCCAGTGAAGGTTCTGAACATGTAAAGCAGTGCTTAAATACAATACCTTATGCCTAACTGTAATAAGCAGCATTTTCTTAGGCAGCCTTTCGCTATGAAAGTTCTGTAAGTTTTGCAGAAGTATACGGAAAACTTACTGACACTAGGGCTAGTGTCTGTAAGCCTTTAGGAAAAAGATTTAAATTATATGACATGAGGGTGAAAACTTACCTTGAAACTTAATTGTTTGTACAGGACTAGAATGAAACATGTACCATTGTTTCTCAAAGAAAAAAGACAACAAAGGGTTTATCCTTTTGAAACATCGTTTTATAAGGCAAAGTGAACAGACTAATAGTGAACAAACTAACAGTCTGTTAGGGAATTTTTAAAATAGGTTGGTTTGCTAGACTTGAACAAAATCTGGAACGAGCAAGGGAGACGATACACTATTATATATATTGACACTGCAATAGTAGTGAATCTTTGCAGCAGCTCTGGTATGTAGCATTCCTCCCACTTCTGCTGAAACACAAGCCTTCATGACTGTTCTAAAAGCCAGTAATAAGTCTCCAAATGGTGTCTTCATACATAATTTGTTACACATAGTCTGTATTAAAATCGTAGGCATCATCTTCATCTGCTGTCTTATCCAAACTGAATGATACTGAATTGGAATGTTCACTTTCTGAGATAAGAAAATAATGTGTTAGTGAAACCAATGCCAGTGCTAGAGTACTAGAGACTCCCCTTCAAGACATGGTTTTTAATACAGACCTGCTATCTGCTTTTCTGGATTTGTAGGACTTGTTTGTTGTTTTCCAAGCTTTGCTTTCCTGGTGACCTGAACTTTGCTTTCCTACAAGTCAGAAAGGTCATACAGATGTGTTTATTCAGACATCACTAATGAAGTCTCCCATGCAAATGAAATTTAACAGAGCAGTCAAGGTGTGGATGTGCCCTTGTATAGCTGGTCAGGAACACAGTGACTTAGAACAATGTTGTTTCCTTAATTAAGCAAAAAGCCCAACCCTTACCTCCAGAAGGGCTTTTTGATTGCTGCTGGTAGCTCCACAGTACCTACACATTCTCATTTTACAGCAGGACACTGACTGGGTACTTGGTGTCAGGATCTGAACAGGTAGAAGAAGCCTAATAAACCTTGATTTACCTCTCTGATATCCTTTTCTTCTTCCACATCATCCTCATCATCACTTTCTGTGAAATCCTCCTCTTCCTCCTTGCTTGTTTCCATGGTTTCCCACCCTGACGCTTCCTCTATGATTTTATTTTCCTCTATTGTCCCATTTGCCATACCAGCTGACTGGAAAGCAATGCTGCTTGCTGGACTGGGGTATTTTAAAGCTAGGAAGAACATAATATGTGTCTGTTAAGTCACTGTTAGACAGCACCAGTTGGAATACCTACCCACTGAGAGGACAGCTGTTTTAGGTCAGGGCTATAAAAAGACAGTCATCCCCCGTCCCGTTCCCCCCCCCCCAAGATGGCACTCCCATGTATAAGCAGGTAGAACAAAGGACAATTCTCCAAGAATAGCTTTCCCTGAGGAATCTACAGAAGACTGCTAGGAGCTGAAAGACTTGGATTTGAGTATAGATTGTACTGAGTAAAATATATTTTGTTGGCCTAATTAGCCAGTGTTTACGTGCTCTTCAACATTCTTTTACCCTATTTCCTGCTTAGGGGGGTTAGGTCAGATAAGCAGAAACTAAGGACTAGCAGGGGTAATTTATGTTAAGCCAGCACGCTGATGCACTATTCCGTTGCATCAGAATCCATTTCTTTCATAAAAGTTTCGTATTCACTGCATATTGGCAAAGCTGTTATATAAACCCCAGGAGGATTTCCATTCAAAATCTCCTATTAAAACTACTACTGCCACTCTTAGTAGCAGCAGTTACAGTAACAGTCCTACCTTGAATGGTGGTGTTGTTTTCTTCTTCTAGGATTTTTAAATTAAAGCACTCCTGTATTTCAGCTATTTTGTCTTCTGTAAGATATGGTGGCAGTCTCTGAGATCCTGGAGGTTGTGAGTGGTAGCTTATTTTAGCTCTGGGAAAATAAAGTATTGGTATTAAAAAACAATCAAAGATAACATACTTAATATATTTAAAAATCCAGAGCACAAGTCTCTCAAACTCCTCAACATAACTACTCATTTATTATCATCTGTTTAATAGCAGTTAAATAGCTACAGCACTATTAAATTTGACTCTGAAGTTGTCAATAACAGTATCAAGAGGATAGCCCACTCCTGAGAGGAGAATGAAATGTCATACTTTGTCACCACAAACCATCTGCCTGTAAAATCATGAGCTGTAAAAGCAGCTGAATCACTTGAGCAAGGGTAACAGTAACACTGAGCTACATTTATTCCCACCCTCAGAATATAGGAACCACTATAAATTTCCATAGGAAATTTCCCTTATCCGTTCCTGTCTGTAGAAGAGGACTACACGGACTCAATATTTGAGAGGAAGGCAAATTCCCCTAACAGATTTATAGCAGAAGTCATCAAACTGGCTACGGAGTAATGTGCAACATGTGTTGACTCTTTCCATATATCCTTCACTACCTTAGAAAATTATCCATGGATGGCATTCTCTAAATCTATTAGCCAATTCAGCTCTCTTTACCAAAGTAAAATGTGAGAAAGGAGGGGAAAAAAATAAAAAGCTGCCTCTCCTTTCTAAGTACTTCACAGGACTCGGAACTTCTGCTGTGCTGGATTAACAATGTGAAAAAGGTAAGCATCATAAAGCAAAACTCATAGCATACATACCCTGTCCAGTCACAAAGTAGTAATTTAGCTACACCCTCTATGTCAGGAATACCTCCCTTTTTCAGCATACCCCTTTTCCGACCAAGTAAAGTCAAAAATTCTTCAGTGTTCCTGAAATCTGGGATGCTATAGTGCATTATTACCTAGTGCAAAAGAAAATGGTGCATTCAGAAAAAGATACCCCTTTTTAGTTTTAGGAATAAAAGAGCAAATCAAATTGGGTTACAATGAGGACAGACAAGTATGCAAAGAGCCATTTTTCTCTTGCATGTGGGAGTAAACATTGCCAAGCAAAATGCCTACTTCATCAACAAATTCATCTGCCATTCAGCCATACTAGTGGGTGTATAGAGACAGCACAGTGGTTTGTGAAAAAAGTTATCACAGAACTGAATAGGAATTAGGCTTAGGTTAGTCTACTTGAAACCAGAGTGAAATCAGAGTTGGATCTGAGGTCTTCACTGTAATAATAGGAAGCAGTTAGAATTATCTTCATTTTTCACTCTGTGATGAGATCTTAAAAGCAGCAGTTTTTAAAAATCAGAAAAGTTATTGCAAAACGGACTCTGGCTGACAGGATTGTGGCATGCGGTTTCTGCCTTCTGTTTATAAGGATAAATGATTACACTTTCCCTTGGATACACTAGCCAAAGTTTGCCATTCTGTATGGTTAGGGGAAAGCGCAAAAGCTACCACAATTAGTTGAAGTGAAACGAACTTTTGTTATTGGCCCAAGAATCCTACAGAGAAGTCAAATGCAGTGAGAGATGTACAAAAAGATGAAGCTCACCTGCTGTTTACTGCAGTGATTTAGAATGGCTTCTACTCCTTCAAGCACATCTGCTGAGTCTGATTCTTCAGTGCCTATGATACTTCTCAAGGCCAGAGCCAAGGCACTGTTGGAAGGATCTGCAATTATACTTGGACTGTCTAACATCTTTGTCTGTTTATCAATGTGCACAATTTGCATGGACCTATTCGGAGAGAAATGCACTGTGAGCAGATAATCAACTAGCAAAGGACTGGTAATGGTGAGGAATGCAAGACACAAAGCTCAGTGCTGTACTGAACACACTTCATACTGTCAGTTTCAGTGCTTTCTCCTACGCTTTGCATAGGATAGAAAACAATGTAAAAGAAGAGCAGGTTTATATGCTGTATTGTCTTGTGACAGGCAGCATCACACAGATCAATGTCTTTCATCCTGGTAAACTGAAATGTGCACTTAAAACTGCACACAGCAGCATACTTCACCCCTAATGGATGGAAACTGCACAAATGAGGTAATCAGCACACAACAGGGAAATGAACAGTTTTTATCAGACTCGGCTTACTTGGTAACACCTCTTGATAGGCCAACATTGCAAGCACGAACTCCTTTAAGACTGTTGATTATGCTGCTCTTTCCCACATTAGGGAAACCTGAAGAAAACCACATAAATCCTTGTGAGTTAAATAGGAAACCTCACCTACGTAACACCAATCAAAACTGTTTCTTCCAGCTGTCTTTGGTAAAGTACACCTCCAGCGTGAGATCAGAGTTGGATCTGAAGTCTTCACTACAGAAGTTAAGATGAATTCTGTATCCTCATTTCTCACACTGATAATAAAAACATCAGGTAGGAGGAAGGCAATGCAAGCTGCATGGTATGTAACCTGCTTGTTTCCCTAAGCTAAGGCCTTGCACAATGTGCCTTTCACAGAGCACACAGGCTGCATGTGTATCAGTGCAACACAGACTGCTATCGACTGAAGCACTGCAATAGTGAGTCCTCGATGAAAGCAAGAACAATGACTAGAAAGCCCATAAGCAAGTCATGTTAGTTGTCTTACCCAAGTTATAACACAGGATACCAACGCTTTATGGGAAGAGAAGGAAACTACTCCTGCCTCTCCAAACGCTTACCTACTACCCCAACCTGAATGGCTTTGTTTTGAGTCTTGCCATGCTCCTGAAGAAGTTTCAAAAGGCATTTGCTTCCAAAACATTCAGTGGTTCTTGATAAATCAACACGTGCACGTCTTCTTGAGACCTGTTCCGGCTAAAAGATTCAAGGGCAAAAAACCCCCATGGTCAGGAGCTATTTAGGAAAATAAATATGTATGCTTATAATTATTTATCTACTGTAATGTTTCCAACTCCTATCCTCTATTAGATATTACTATGTTCTTCTAAACAGAAGGAATTAGTTTAGTAAGAAATGGGCTCATCAGTTAATTGACAGTAAAAAAAGGTAGCCATCAACTACTAAGAGAAAAAGGAATGTGAACTGACTTAAAGGGCTTGTGATTTCAGTTCAGGCTGTACTGCAGATTTGTTGGGCAACCATAAAATAACCATTTATGTTCTGATGGTAGAATTCTTAAATCTGCAAATTCACTCAAGAGACTTCAGTTTTTTAAAGGACTTCAAAACCTGCTTTCTGCATTGCAGTTTCTGCATCATTTCACAGAAGGGTCTATTTTGTGCTGCTGTTATCAGGGTTAAGACGTGAAGCATTTTGTATTAATACACATACAACTCAAACGAGCATCTTCAAACAGTTGAGACTAGGATACAGGGAGGTAACCCTTTTATACTCTTCATGAAATAATGTCAAGTGCTACCTGTATTGATGGCCAAAGTCAGGATGAATGCTGTAGTATGGCCTGCACCACTTTACCTACAAACCAATTCAGATGTAACTGTTGCAAGCATCCTATGCAGAAGATTAAAAATTCCTCATCTTCCTCCCATCACTGTCTTACAGTAAGAAAAAAAAAACAAACAACAGACTTGCTGTCGCTCTAGTCCAGCAGCCAGGGCACAAATAACAAGATGTATTGCAGAAGCAGTAATTTCCCCACTGTACACAAAGCTTAGTCAAAGTGCAAAAGCATATCTGTCAGATGCAGCATTATAATCAAACAAGGGGAAAAGGAATTCTAGGGAACAAGAGCTCCCATTTCTCAACATGTATGACTGCAAACACATACAACTTAGTCATGATACAGCCTGCAGTGCTCTTACCATAGTCCTGTCCTTCATCAGCGTTGCTGATTTAAAAGCAACTGTTGGAAACTCCTTCTTCAAATAATTCAACCATTTTTCTAAGTTCTCCTTTGGAACTAAATCTGGAAAAAAGAGCACAGTCTTTTCACTCCTGTGAATCTTATATGTCACTGTGTGGAGGAAATCTAATGTGCAATCAGGAACCAGACTGTATTTTGTCCATTTTATGACAAATAATGTTTGGCTGAAAAGTCCAGTAAAGTACTGGGTACTTTCCTCAAAGGCACCAAAGTGTTGCAGGTTTGTCTTTATTTTCTATCTCAAGCAAAACATACCACAATTACATTTTTGGACCCTGTATGAAGTTTTTAATGCTGAGGTCTTCCTGGGAGACTTTGTATGGTACAGAGTGATGTCCTCTGAGGGATCATCTCATCATCCCTGCAAAGGCTACTCTAATGCAAAGTTCCCTTTGCTCTTCCTGTCACTCTTGGTACTTTCTTTTATCTGACTCAGTAATTTCCAGCCTTTTTAGCTCATTTCAACAGCTTTGGTGTGGATTCTTTCAGGCAGCAACAGAAGAAAGTACTTCCCAAAGACAAATTTCAAATCCAACTATTGCATTGATCTGCTGATCCTTAACTCACCTTTTCCTCAGTGGGGACCAGCATCATGACCTCTGCCCACCCACCTATGTTCACAAAAATGTTAAAAATGGTATGATCTTTAAATTCTGTCAAATTTGGCTGAGACTGGCCAACGCCTTCAGAAGTTATTGCAAAAGAAAGAGGTGAATGCCCATTAAGCTGCCTGTGGTGTTTTCTTAGCAAACCAGACTAAAAGGTGGAGGAAATGTGACCCCTTCAGTAGGGCAGTGAGCTCAGAGTTGGATCTTATGTCTTCAATAGAATCTCAGATTCCTTTAAAATCTTCTTCATAGCTCATCTACCACAGAACCACGGTGACCAAGTAACACTTCAAGAAAACCTGTGCTTCTTACCAATTTTGTTCAGAACCAACAGTAGCTTTTTGTCTCCTCCAGAGCAAGTCACAGCTTGCTCCAGTTGAGGACACCGGCAACCCATTGGATCTCTTGCATCTAAAACCTCTAGAACCACATCTGAGGCCTCAATCACCTAGGTTAGAAAAAAGAGAGAAGACTCTCAAATAAGACATGATAGACCATTTGACAGATGACAACTCTGGAACAGCTGTGGCTTACAACAGTTCCTACTGAATTTCACTGAGTGACTGGTGAGGTTGCATACGACTGTTCTTGTTTGAGCTCCTTTCTGAATTACAAACCAGAAAGCCGAAGCAATTTTCATCTTTCTCCTCCAAAGGCAAGAAATCCTTAGACACCAGTACTTCATTGCTGTAAGAGCACTTAATCACTCAGTATGTACTGATGTTGGCCCAAGTAGTCTGATGCCTCAAAATGCTGCATGCCTCAGGAGCTCACACCAGACAAGACTGAAACCCTCACAGTTTCTGTAATAAAATCCCTTACTTCAGTGCTGGTTTGTAATAAAATCCTTTACTTCAGTGCTGGTTTGTCACAAGCAACCTCACACTCTCTAGCAGCTGCACAGCAATGCAAAAAAGGAAAATGACAAGTATTCTCATTGCTGACTCTCATCAAATGATGTAAAAATAGTTGAAGCGCCTCACCTTCCTGAGCTCCCTGCAGAATGATTTCTTTGAATTTTTATCCAGTAGTTTGTTAGTCTTTGCTTTAGATTTGCTAGAGGATTCCTGAATGCAAATAAAAATTAAAGGAATGATTTAACGGAGAATTGGTATATTGTGTGCATACACAGCATGAAAACGTAACATGTAACATACTGCTTAAGAAGATGTAGTTTCAGGATAACTGTTATTGCTTCTATAAGCTTCAAAGAAGCAAAATCATACCAGAAACTTACCTTTTCCTCTACATTTTCCTTGATTTTGGCTGCATTCTTTTTAGCTTCAAGCTTCCTCCTCTTTTCATGTTCTTTCTGTCTGTTGAGCTTCTGCTTTTGTTTTAGTTCTTCAAGCTGATTACAGACAAAAACCCAAGCCAGATAAAACATATTGGAAGGTGGTAAGGAATGTTATTTGTCCCCATTTACTGATTTCTGACCAAAGTTCCTGAGACAGCTTAGTTAGAAGTCACAGCTGTCCAAATGACACTGGGAATGTTTTTTGCATTCTATGCTGATCAATACTGTTGCCTTCAATTGCCTCAAAACCAGAGGCAATACATCCATTAGCTAGACCCCAAGATAACAGCCATGCAGCAACCACATTACAAATTATAAGGGTGCTGCTCTGTCCCATTATGTTGCAGACAGCAGATCCTTATTTTCTGTATAATCGCTTAATGCCAAGACTAGACTTACAGCATTCTGATGAGACATCTATGTATCTTAGCATCACAGGCAATCTGGATTACATTAGAAATGACTCTTCCAGCATGTTTATACACACAGTGATGAAATTAAGGTTAAAAATAAAAGAGCAAATTGTTACCCACTGTATAATGCTGGAAATAAATATATTATTTCTCCAAAGTACATGTCTACTAGGACCATTTACTATCTACTATGATGGCACCTCTGGGTGCACACACATGCACACAAAGCTTCCCTGAAGAAAAGAATGGTCTCAGCCCCCTTGAGTTCTCTCTCTCATCCACTTTACCACAAACTGTATTTTACCCTCTTCTTTCTTTGCTCTGCTTCCCGTAGAAGCTCTTCCTTAAATGGTGCAGCACTGGGAACACCAGGATCTTTCTTGGGCTTTTTGCGTCCACGTTTTTTGGCCTCCTTCCTGACTTTTCGGTGGTGTTCTCTGATCTGAAGAAAAGTACAAAAATATTTTCTCAATCTAAGGCAAAAAAAAAAAAAAAAGTATGTATCCCCCCCTATTTACAGATACAGAGTTAAAAATGGTACGTTTCTGATTTTAGATTGAAGCGTTTCGATTGCACAGTGTCTCGTGTTAAAGCCTCACTTGAACGTACCAGCCCGAGATAATGCAAGATACAACGATGTAAAAAACCTACACTCATCATCCTTCGGCCAGTGGTGACTGGAAAGCAAATTTCTCACTACAGTCCAGGCTCCTTAATATTCAGTACAACAACCTTATTGGGTACATGTATAAGTACATGTTTCTGTAACCAATTGTAACAAATGCTTTTAGCGTTAAACTAGCTAGCATGCAACTGTAGTCAGAGACAGACCACCCCGCCCCGCCATCCTCCCCCGCTCCGTGGGGCCGGGGCAGCGCGCCGGGACTCACCTTCTTCTGGATCTTGTAGCGCTTGTGGCAGGTCAGCCTCTTGCTGGCTTTCCTCAGCTCTGCAACACACCGCGCTCTCAGCGCCGGTTCCCCGCGGCGCACCCGCCCACCCGGGCAGGGTGCGGGCGGGGGCCCCCCTGCGGGACGGTTTGGGCAAGTTATGTGCCTTGCCTCTGTGCATGTCCCAGTGTTGATAAAACGACCGATGTGTTGCGTCTCTCGCTTCTTCGCCAACTTTGTCCTTCTGTAGTGTCTGGTTGCTGCCGTCCCCCTTTCCCTATGTTGTAGCTGGTTTCGGTGTGATCGATAATCGGGGGAAATTTTGGCTGTGCTTCCCTCCCCTGTTCCGTTTGCTAAATTTGCCATGATTTAGTGAGTTGAAACGTGGGAGATCCTGATAATGATAAAATACTTTATGTGGTATCTGTTGGTTTTTAGCTTTTTTTCTGCTTGGAGGCAGAAAAGGAAATGTGTGCTAGAACTTCATTGGCTTGTTTTAAGTGTGTTGTCCACATGCATGTAAAAACTGTTCACTTAATGAGGTCAGACTGGGTGACACTTGTGGTGATCAGTCTAGTACAGCTTTGAGGAGGGGCAGTCTTCCACCTGTTGTATATATATTTGTATACGTGTGTATTGGTAATGGCCAAACCATTTCTTATAGAGATGTCTATGGCTATGCAACATTTTTATGGGCAGTGTGAGCAATTATTAAGAAGATGCTCAAGCTCGTGTTGCACAGGAGGTGGCCTCTTTGTAGTGGTGGAGATTCTTGGTGTGACTGTTGAGAGACTTGTGAGCTAGCAGTTACGTTACAGAAGAAAGTCTAGGAGACATGTTCTTAAGTAAAGCAGAATACATTTCTGTGCACAGTAGGATTATCTGCGTTTATGAGCATGGAGTTCTAGAGAGAAATTTACATTTTGGAGCCTGGCATTTGGTAGGAGTTTTACGTAAGCAGTTCTCTCACTGAGTATTCATGATGTTCTTCAGACTGATACAAGTTTTCCACCTTCCTTGGTTATTAGAGGAGAAAAATGTTTCTAGAGGCTGTGTACAGAACGGCCAGATGTCTTGATCATACAACTGTACAGCAGCATCTGCCTATACCTGAGAGATGCAGTGTATGTGCCTCAGATAACAGATGTGGAGAAGCCTATATGCAGTTTGCAGGCAGGTGCTGGTTGGGAGGTCCCCAAATCTTTATTCGAGGACAAGATTGGACTGAATGTACTTTTGGGTTCCTGGGTGGACCAGAATTACTGATTGCAGTAGTCCCTCCTGCCTGCCTTTCACAACCAAGAACTTGTGTTTTCTAGTGGTCTCCCCATCAGCACGTGCCTGGTGTTAGCTCTCAGATAAAAGTTGGAGGTAGTGCCAAAAGCAACAGGCTGGTTGTCCGTTCCTGAGATGAATTGCCTGCTAATAAAGCACAGAGTTTCTCTGTATGTGTGTGTTATGAGAATACCGACCATGAAAACAATCTCTCTGGGGGTTGATTGAAGACAGTAGTTGCATTATCTAAGTAGAAGCAATCATTTTGCCATAAAATGGTTCTGTACATTTCACATGGAATTTCTGAAAAAGAAATCAGACTTGGAGACTGCTTAGAAATTGAAACTGGTATATCTTTAGTGAACCTGTGTAGCTGGATGTTTAATGTTGCTTACTTACAAGGATAAAAATCCACTCTAAAGATTTGATGGACATGCATCATCACTAGAGATGCTATTAAATGTTTCTTGACCTTAAAAATTATTTTGTTATTGTTATAACCACTGTACTACTTCAGATTCTGTAACTTTTACTGCTTTCTGGTTTTTACTCTCGGGTCAGATACCGCTTATGTTTACTCCCTGCTCTGCTTGATGAATCATTCTCTAGCAAGTGGCTGTGAAATCTGTAATATGCATTCAGGAACATTAGAGAAAAGTGTTTTTACTGTAAAATGACAGAAATGTCTAGCATTCTGTGTACAAAAATACTTTGTAGAGTTTCTGCTAGGCTAAAAAAAGTCACCTTCTGTTTCTTGCTTTTTTCTCTGTCACTGTAATTATTAAATGTATTCTTTATCTATCTACTCTAGTTTTCTTCTCTCTCCTTCCTTTTTCTTGTCTTCCAGTTTTGGCTGTACTAACACCATTGCTGGTTTGCTACTCTTAGAGTGTTACCTTCTCCCAGTATCTGTACTTGGCCATCAGACACTATGAGGAGACTGGCTTTTCGAGGTGCTGGTTGTACTCTGGTAAATCTGGTAAATTATTGATTGTATGTGCACCATTCCCTCCATTCCTCTGCCTTAGGCTTTTGCTTTTATTTATCCTGTTAATTATTCCTGCCTTATTCATCTCATTTGTGTGCTTTAAATGAATTCTGTCTCTAACATAAATGCTCTAATGCGGTTATGGTGTGCTGCCATACCTTATAAATCAACTGAGTGCTTCCTAGAAGAAATTCCTTGGTTTGGTTGGAAAATGGGTATAGGCTGGGATAGATGGATCTATTCTGTCTTCAGCCTTTCAGACAGATACAAATAAAGCTATTTTTCTGATGCTGTCACTGGAAGCTGGGAAAGAGCCAACAACTTGTTCTGTAAATCACCATAATTGTTGGATGGTGGTTGTTCATTTGTCACTGTGTTGGCAAATGGAAAACTATGGCCAAAAAAGGACGTGTTTTTTTCTACCTGTTGATTGAGCCATTCATCCTACACATAAAGTGGGAGTGGTAGGTCACACAATGGTCCAGACCTTTTTTGGGCTTGAATCTAAGATGAGGTATTCAGTAGCTATTTGAATTTTTGTTTGTAATTTGTTTTCTTCTTTTTTTGTTGTTGTTTGTTTGGGTTTTTTTTTGTTTTAATTTGACATGGAATTACATGCTTTTCCACTAGAATTGAACACATGTTTGCACAGCTTTTTCCTTTAAAACAGTGGTTCTCGGTTATCATGCATGGGATGAGATAGCAAAGTGTAGATAGTTTCAGAACATATCCTAGTAAGAGCTGCTAAATTCATCTTCATCACTGTGAGCCCTAGGCTTTCTGACTTTGCTGTCATCAGTGATTATAAAGAATTTTGATTTCCCTTTACTCTTGCCAATTTTTTGAAAAAGCTGGTATTTAGATATGTGGCGTACCTGAACTGTAGTATACAACAAGAGTGACATCCTAAACGTTTCTGTCTTTATAGTTAGCTCTCACCAGAGAGTTTGGATGCAATGCCATGAGTTTAAGAACATATCTCTTCATTATAGAAGAAGTTGGATTCCATGGGTTCCAAGAGGCGAAGAGCTACCTCGCCTTCCAGCAGCGTCAGCGGAGGAGACTTTGATGATGGACACCACTCCACCAATATACCAGGCCCAAGCAGAAAGAGGAGGAGACTTTCCAATCTCCCAACTGTAGATCCTGTTAGTACCGCCTTAATATGCAGAACTTTTTTTCTTGGGCATACTGTATCCCTGTCTGGAAAATGCTGGATTGTAAAATGGATGATCCTATGTAGCATGGGTTCTGAATCTGTTGCTGCCTTGGCTAAGCTTTGTTAGGATCTTGTTCAGCTTTGGCTTGTTCTTGTCTCCCCAGTTTCATCTTTTTCTTTCCCATTTTCCTTTTGCTGCTTTTTTTTTGCTGATGATTTTAGCAGATGGAAGGATGTTGGAGAAGGAGCTGAAATCATAACATGCAGAAGTTGAGAGGTGTGTCTGAATAGCAGATGCAGAAAGATAAGTGGGGAACGGCGCAGGCAGTGATTGCTGAAGTGTACGATGTCTGTCATGCTTTTGAGTTAGCAGTCTAATTTTAATTAATTGCAGGGCAGAAGAACCCCTGTCATTGTTTTAGATGTCTGTAACTTGGAGAGAATTGTACTGAATTAATTTACATTTTGGGTGTTTTACTTAGAATTAGCATTGAAAGAAAGCTCCCTGTGTTTAAAAAAAAAAAATAATTAAAATTCTGCAGTACCTGGCAAACTTGTCAGGTATCATACTAATGTATGAGATGCACCAATTTCTTCACACTTCTGCTTTAGAGCACCTTGTGAATTGGCAGCTTGTCTTTCCCATTGTAAGCAGGTTTCATTTGTTATCTCCTTAAAATGGTCTTATTTTTTATTACTTTATTGTTCTTGCATTTTAGATTGCTGTATGCCATGAACTTTACAACACCATCAGAGATTACAAAGATGAACAGGGCAGGCTCCTTTGTGAGCTTTTCATTAGGGCACCGAAGCGAAGGTAAGACCATGGTTCTGATTAAGCCTTGAACCTGAGGTTTAATCAGAGAGTAAGTGGATCTTGAGGAATACTTGAGCATTAGTAGCTGTGAAAAAAATAAGCTAAATTTCTCATAGTTTCACACCAGTGTTTGATCCGAGTATTTGCTGTAATTATTCAATGGAACATGCTAACAATGGTGCCCTTTCTCAGTCAAAAAAGGACACACAGAAGTTAAAATATTTCTTGTGACACCTGCCTGAAACATCTATCTATGCCTGTGACTATAAAGTATTCCACCTAAGTGGTGGAATGTAATAGTAATGGCATACCTTGGGAAGATTAATAGAAATGACCCTTTAAAATGCAAAAGATAAAGTAAGAGACTGAATTTTCTCTTAAACTCAGAAAACTGAGGATAATAGCAGAGCATGTAATAAAGTAAGCCTACTAATAGACCAGATCTAACAGTCCAGATCTTTTAGCTGTAACAAAAATGTATTGGAACTTTCTTTGGTTTATTTAGTCATAGACACATACAAACTTTTAATGCTGTGGTTTTGGTTTTGCTGCTTGGAATATAATGCCTGTTTTTGTCATTGCAACAGAAATCAGCCAGATTATTATGAAGTGGTTTCCCAGCCAATTGATTTAATGAAAATCCAACAAAAGCTAAAGATGGAGGAATATGATGATGTGAATGTGCTAACTGCTGATTTTCAGCTTCTCTTTAACAACGCAAAGGCTTACTATAAGGTGAGGAAAATACATATAAAGCCTCAAAGTAGTTGTAAAAGTGGTAGAGAGAGGTTCAAATTCTTCCTTTGTTTGGCAAAAAAACCTTTTCAGTTTATCCTTTATTCTTGGTAAGGGAACAGCACACATGGCAGTTATTTTCGTGTTTTTCCATAAGGTTGACCACCTCTTTGTAAGATGTCCTACTATAGCAATTTTTCTGTGGAAAACTATAAAATAGTGTGAAGAGAATCTTCATGTAGTTTTCCAAACGTGATACAAAGCAAAAATAGAGATAGAGATATAGACTCAGAAAAAATATTATTTTATCAAAGCCTTCCCATTTTACAACACACTGTAACCTTTTGAAATAGGAAAAAAAGACTATTTTTTTTCCCAAAAGGAGGAGTTTATAAATAACTGCAAGCATACAGTAGGAGTGTTGAATCTTTCTCTTCCATTGGCCACTTAATAAGATGAAAAAAAAGGCACACTGATTATTATGGTCAGTGATGATAGATTGTGGGTGTACGTGACCATGTATTTCATCAAGGATGTCACCCTCAAGTCTATTTCCACAAACTAGGTATGTGTTCTATTTTAGATGGTAATGGTTTTCATTGCAGTTGCCATAAGGAAATGGGAAAAAATTAGATTAATCCTGTTTAATGGAAGGCTATGTTAAATACATAAACCAGCGAAATTTGGTGTTGTGACTGAGGTGATACAGCAGATCTAAAACTGCTAATATTACCTTTCACATATCTTTGACTTTGGAGATGGTCCAACTGACTGCTTGCTGAGTAACCCGACCAGCGTAACCTGGTGGCATTCAGAAAAGCAGAAAATGCTTTTAGTTCTTCCAAAAAATATATCTAGATGTGTGCCCAGGTGGTACCATGTTGTCAAGTTCTTTGGGTTTTCGCAGATGATGCTGAGTAAATCATTGCAGTGCTTTCAAAGATAATTGGCACATTTATTGGCATTCTTCTTCTGTAGAAAGTAAAAGTGCCACACAATGGCAACAGCATTGGCTTAAATCACATTTCTGGCATACTGATATTTAGTCTGTTTTAAATATCTGTGGTGTTACGCTTCAGCAAAACCGAATGATTTCACCACATTCGTCTAATAGGCTTGTCCAAGCCTCAACCCAAGTAATTTTGTGCTGAGTTTTCTGAAAGACTTAGATGCTTTGGAGTAATAGGGGTTATACTTTCTAGTGCTTATTGTGATTCTTAACATCTCTGTTGAAGAGCAACTGAACCAGGCATTTCCCAGGTTTTCTATTATTTATTTAATGCATTTATTACCTTTCAACTAATAATTTTTTATTTTCCTTCAGGTAAGAATGATCTGAATTTTGAGCAGAATGTTTGATTTGTTTTTGCAGCCTGATTCTCCTGAATATAAAGCTGCCTGCAAATTATGGGAGTTGTATTTGCGTACAAAAAATGAATTTGTTCAAAAAGGTGATGCTGAGGAGGAAGACGATGATGAGGAAGGACATGACAATCAAGGAGCACATTCTGAATTAGTAAGTGTGGGCATGACAGCTGCAGTTGGAGGAAGCTATGACTGTGTATGTCAGCTGACTCTGAGAGGGAGATTGGCCTCCATACATGAAAAAGCATTAAATCTTTTCATAGTTAAATTATGCCTCAAAAGGTATTTCTTACACAAGTTTATTAATTAATAATTTCACAGCGTTGTTTGTGTGTTTCACTTCTGCCTAGCAAAAAAAAATGTTATGAGGTTTTCTGATATGGATGAAACGTGGTTCTGGTTTAGTCAAAACTGATATGATGTGTGCTTGATACCATGCCAACACTGAGGTTTGGTGCAAGGAAGCTTCATGTCTAATGACATAATTTTCCAGCATGTGTCCCATTCAATTAGTGCAGCTGTTCTGTAGTGTTTCATAAGCCAGATACAATGATAGGAAGTTTGGGCTTGTCTGTTTTATGTGATGTTGGGACGCATGGTTTCATTAATGTTGACAACCATGTCTATTCTAACAATATGTAATGTATGTCTGACAGTCTGCAGTGTAAATGTGAAGTTAAAGTTTTCTCATGTGCTTTACCTAAATGCATAAACAATGTTGTTTTCAAAAGTTGCATCTGTGTTTTATAGCTGACTTTTTCTGTCTTTGAAAAGTAAATTTGGATATTTCAGTGCAACTTGAAGCACTCCACTATGGCTGCTATTAAAACTTGCTGTGATTTTATTTCTTATATTAGTCATCTCCAGGTTACCTGAAGGAAATTCTTGAACAGCTTCTTGAAGCTGTAGCTGTTGCCACAAACCCATCAGGACGCCTTATAAGTGAACTCTTTCAGAAACTTCCTTCTAAAGTGGTGAGTATTTTAATGATATTGGTTGTGTTCTGAGATAGAAGTCTGGACATTTATATAGGCTGATGTTATACACTATGATGGGCACACTCAAGATGCAGTTCTTTTTTACTGTCTTGTTGGTGGCAAACTGTTTGGAGCTTCCTTCCCTTCTTTGTTCATACCGACTCGTTCCCAGCCCTTCATTGCAGACTGAGACTTGTGCTGTTCTGCCAGTTTAGGTAACTGAGGTTTTTTCATGCAGAGTTTTTAATCTTTTCAAATATGTATGATATCACTGTTCTGCTTCAGTGTGTGACACAACAGAGAATTTATTTTTCTGGTTAAACGTGAAGACCATCGCCATGTATTTGGCTTTTAGACATAACTGTTCCTTTATGTCACTTTATTGATGAATTACAATTCCCTGTATCTGCTGTATGATCTGGCTTGCTGAAATTGAAACCTAGTGCTATGTTTATGAAGCTTACACTGTTCTTATCTGCAATTCATCTAATAGCTAATTCTTTAAGCTATTAGAACAATAGGTTTATGACTGTTTATAGTAATATATGGATGATTTTTGTTTTCCAGCAATACCCAGATTATTATGCAATAATAAAGGAGCCCATAGATCTTAAAACTATTGCCCAAAGGATACAGGTATAGTATGAACATATTAATGTGTCAGAGTATAGATTTAACAGTAAGCATTCTAAAATTGTTAGAAGCCAAAATTTATGGTGGTAGCAAAGGCCATGTGTTTTTCCCCCGCTATTTAAAAATCTGAATGCTATGTTGATTTAATGTTCTGTCCTGGGTTGATGCTACAGAAGTAGCTGTGTTGAAGACCAAGCATTGTAAACTGTAGTGTGCTGGCATTGAGCCTGAATATCTTGGGTTCCTTGATGTTTAATGGTTTAAAGTAGTTCCTTGGCAAGTACTGCTAATGTAAAACATTGAAGTGTTGAAGCTTGGTTATGCATTATCATCACCTACTTTTGTTCTAGTGCTATAAATAGATGTTTTGTAGTGATGCATTCTTCATCTTGCTTCTTCAGTAATCTGAAATACTCTTCTGTAATTCTAGCATTTTGTATAATAGTGAGGGATAGCATATAGACTGAACTAGAGAATAAGCATAAAATAACAGTTTGTCCAAACTCTTCAAAATTAAAATAATCAAATGTATTATGTATTTTTTTTGATCTTTTACTTAGCATTTGTAAGCTCTGTAAGGACTTGGGACTAATGTTTGTTACTTTCTTTTTTGATGACTTTTTTCTAGATAGTTCTGTCCTTTTTATAAATATGTTGTTTTTCTGTAAATGTTCCCTTTATTCTATATGAATTCCCTTTGCTTTTCACTACTTAATTCTCATGCTGTTTGAAGGCTGCCACTTCAACCAGTTCTGCTTTTTGTTGTATAGAATGGAACTTATAAAAGCATTCATGCAATGGCCAAGGATATAGATCTCCTGGCAAAGAATGCCAAAACCTACAATGAGCCTGGATCACAAGTATTCAAGGTTAGTTTCAGTTGTTCATAGTTTGATTTGAGTTCAGATTTTCTCTACTGCTTTCTATGCTGATTGATCCTTAAATGAATCTTTAGCATAAGACCCTAAAGACTCTGTTTGCATTTTTTTAAAAAAAATAGCTACCATTAGTGCCTATTCTTTTTTTTAAAATTGCCCTTAGCATAATTGGGATGTATGTAACCTTTTTTTTCTTGAGGTACGTGACTCTTTCCAGTTAAATTTTATCTCTGGATATGAGTTACATGACTTCTTTGGCTGAACGGAGGATCCCTGTATTTCTGTTTGAAGTTAAAATGGCCAAAACTACAGGTTCAAGTGATAGCAGTAATACTTGACTGTTATCTCCTTCCAGATGGCAGGAACTGTTGGTTTATCATAAGCTTCAAAACCAGAGTCATCCCTTCTTTTCATAGTTTTTGAAGATCATCTTTCTTTTAGCCATATTTTTGTGACCAGATTGCACTTCCTAACTTTTTCATACTTAGTTCACCAGCATTTTTTGTACAAGTTATCACATTGCTGTTTCCATGTACTCTGGAAGTAAGAGAATTTCAGTGGTAAATTATTCTTTTGTGTGATCAGTTTTTAAGGGCTTTGTAGTGAGACACCTTGTATATGTATAACACTATTATGTAAGTGGTTCTTGGACTTTTACAATTGCACTTTTGTTTGGATTGTAGTTTCAGTTCCTAGCAACCTTACTCACACTTGCAACCCCACTCAAAACTTGTAATCTTGATTTTGTGAACTGTTAACTCTGAATATTGATTCCACGGGTGTATAGTGAGAGCAAGCATTGTAAAGCTCAGTAATACTAGTAACTTTTTGATTACGAAGGCATAGAAACTCATTTGCTTGTTTAGTTCAAAGCAGTATTCAGGTATATTTACAAATTGTAGATTTTAATTTTTTTTTTTTTTTTTAAAGAATGTGACAAAAAATGAGCTTGAAGCTACTCAGCTGTTCTATTCAGTTTTTACAGTCTAGTGTGGGTGTATTTCAGGCAGGCTCTGTTCTTTGCTTCATTGCTCATGCAAAGTTGTTTTATACCTGAATGTAAAAACCCCTTCATTTTTTTTTTTAGATAGATGGATATACCTGATATAACAGTCTTCACTTTCAACATTAAACAAAATATTCTTTTAATTGACAGGATGCAAATGCGATTAAAAAAATATTTAATATGAAAAAGGCTGAAATCGAACACAGTGAATTGGCCAAGTCAAGTCTCCGAATCAGGTACTGCAAATAGAGTTCTTCTTATCTCATATAAAAATGTCTATAGACATTCCCTTAATTTTGCTGTGGAGAATACAACGGGAAATAATTGCTTGAAAACTTTGTTGTTGTTTTAGAAGTTATAAATCATAAGATAGTTTTTGGAAGAAAACTTTTTATTGAATTACTTCTGTGGTGAAATATTTCTGTGATGTACTTGATTATGAAAAACGGTGTCAGTCAATCTTTCATAGCTTAAACTGTGGCCAACTTCCACCATGTGTTAATAAGTTAATAAAAGGAATAGTGAGGAACGTGGTGGTTTGTTGTGCTTTGCTTTATGCTGGGTATTCTTAAACCTTGTTAGGAGCTGAAACGTGAGAGCTCAATGTTAGGTAGTGGCAGAAACATAGGAACAAGATCTCGGGCAAATATATTTATAGGGAAGTCCACATTATATAAACTTTTGTTTGAAAACAAATTTCTAGCTATGAAAAGAGATCAGTGAAGATCTAGACTTACTAATCAGTGAAGCACAGGTCTTAAATAGGCAGGTATAAAACACTGCTGATAGCTCTGTTTGTTAGATGGAGTGGTTTTATTTAGGAAACAGCATTTTCTTCCTGTGAAAATCCATAGTGTACAGAGAAGTGAAGCAGTCATTTTGGATGTTTCTTATCTGAAATGCGATTAGATTTCTTCTTGTATAAACTTTTTATTTAAGTAAAAAGTTTATATGAGAAGAGTACTTATGAGTACTTACGAGGTTTAGATATTACTTGCCAGTATGAGCCGTTAATAAAGCAATGTTTTGCAAGTCATCCAAGGAGTTATCAGACTTTTTACAAGTTGGACTCTCTTTTTGTATTTGAGCTGTTTACTGGTATTTGATGCTGGAAAATAAGTTCTGTCATTTCCTGCAATGGTTTGTATGGTACAGCTGAAAACACTAGCATTCCCTTACTTTACTGAAAGGCAATTTAAATTTTTTTGTTGTCTGAAAAATGTGTAGATGGTGCCAGTATTAAAAGTATTGATTAGGATTATTATGTATGAAAGAAGTGGAAGTTACCTGATTGATTTTTACTATGTGGTGCTTTGAGGCATTCAACCTGTGTAGTGTTTTTTCTGGTTCATTTGTTCAGTGTTAGCATACTTCCCATCTTTGGGTGAATCACTGTTGGAGCATGTAAAAATATAACAGCAGAAGTACTGTTAGGGAGTAATTCTCGACACATTTTAATAATTTTCCTTCTTAAAAGTATGTGTAGTGCCAGAAGACCTTGATTCTGCAGAAACTGAACATACATATTGTTTGCTTTGCAGCAACTAGAATTACATATAAGTGTAGAAGTTTTCTAATTAAATTATTTTATTTTATTTTTCTCACTGTATTGGCCTTTGGTGAAGTTCAGGATGTCACATGTGTGTGTGTGTATGATGTTTAATTTTGAGGCTTAACCCTTTTTCTTCAAAATAAAGCTGTTTGCATAAGAAGGGATGACAGATAAATCACACTGATATTTGTTAGTTGAATTCCTCTCTTGCACTGCCAACCCATTTCCACTTCTCAGCTACCTTATTCTAGATGTTCTCTTATGTACTGTGTTTTCAATAGACCTACAAATCCTGAAGTAATCTGAATGTCAGAATAATTGACAGCTCCCTTCTTTGTTTCTCTAACTTGGCAAAAAAAAATTACAATGCCTGAAGCAGGCTGAATGCCAAAATCTGGGGGTGAGAGAAAGGTATCATAAAAAGCAAACCTTTCACCAGTTGTTCTGCATTTCACTGGTTGCTTCTTTTATTGAACCATTATTCTTTCTTCATTTCTTTCTGCCTAATCTGCATCACAGAATCATTATACTGTATTTAAATTCATAATTCCTAACAGCTTAATTGTCTCAAATGGGGGTATCCTTTACCTATTGCTGATTTAGGTAAAATACTCCCCATAAATTCATTTAAAGACTACATACTATATTTTTCTTCAGAATTTGTATCTGGTTTTCTTTGTCATTGATAGATCAGGCTCAAATTCATCATAATGCTACTAACCTGAGTTCTACAGACATGTTGCCTCTGTGTCTGAAATCATGCTTTTCTATTGCAGAGCACATTGTATCCTTTGCCATAATAAATTGCTCTTTGTTGGTGCATTTAACTGTCCTCCCTTAAATAAAGTGGCAAAATAAAGTTGCTTGACATTATGCACTCTCAAGCAACTTCACAGTGATTTTGTTATGTATTGATAAAACATGATTGGATCTGTATGATTAGCTTCATCTGGATGCTGAGGAATATTTTGTTGACTGCTTTTACTGCTATTGTAAGCTGCGCTATGTGTATAGCTTTTAATCCTTAATCTAAATGTGACCTTCCTCTGACTCTATAAACAAAATCAATATTAATGCTGGGTCACTACATGTATCTTAGTATTACTTTACATTTTATATCTGTCTCTGAACCTTTTGGCTGATCTATCAAAGTAATTCTGTAAAAAGCTTTATCCTTGCTGCATCTTTTCTTGGGTCTAAGGTGGGCCTCTTTTTTTCCCATTTCCTTGGCTTGTCTCTTCTGCCTTAAGGACTCCATCAAATTTGACTGCTTCCAAGCTGACAGGTCCTTCCTCACAGGGTAAAGGCAGTGTTGGTGATGAGAGAAATTCTTCTAACAAATATTACCGGTAAGTAAATTATGGACTTGGAGGAAAAGCTGGGTTGTCATAATAAGGAAATGCTAAAATACGGGTGGTTTTTGGATTTGGGTTTGGTTTTGTTTGAGTTGAGAGTGCTCTTCAATATTGACGCAAATGCTTTTGCGATTCAAATATATTTCAGTCAAATATCTATTAAGTATGATTTAATAAGTTATTTTGCCGTAATTACTCTTCCATGTTTGATTTTATTTTTAACATTTCAAAACACCTGTCATGAAATACTCTATGCAATTATTTCCTTAGAAATGTTCTGAAGAACAGTATATTAAGCTTCGTTACAAAATAGAGCAGGTGAAAAAATCCATGGAAATATACTGTAGACCTGAAAAATTATATTTGGAGACTAAAAAGCAGTAAGTAGAACTAAGTAATTAAGAGATGGATGACAGAAAACAATGAAGCCTCTAAAAAGGAAGTATTGCATTTAGGATGCATTTATGGCAAACTTGCTGAGTAGACTGGTTCACTGGAGGCTTTCCCATTTGTTCTTTCAGTCATCAGTTGAGACTTTTGGTACCTAGCAAAAGTCTCGTGTCTAGAGTCTCTGGGTTACCATCTTGAAACACTACGACTCCTGGTTAATTCCCTGCGTGTGTAGTCTGAACTTCAGCTGTGAGGGTCCTGAAGGGATTGAGCATTTGTAGTACAGAGTTGGTGTCATTTTAACCAACGCATTCTGCTTTTTTGCAGTCTGCTCCCACAGGGCAAGGCTGAGCCCATTGCTGGGGGTGCCTAAGAGCTGACCTAGTAAAAAAGCAGAGATTGCCAGGCATAGCCTACAGTGTAGGTATGAAACGCTGTGCCCCAGGTTTGGGACAAAAGGGAGGAAGCGAGGGATGCTGAAGTCAGTGACAACGTAGCCAGCATGGATGCTGGTTTACTCCACCTAGAAAGCAGAGGAAGCTACTTCACACACAGGCACTCTGTGTGCTGAAAATGCCTAAGGCGGGGTTGGAGGTATGGAGGAGATAGCATGTACATCTTACAGCTGAATTCATGTAGACAAGATCAAATAACAAAGTTATTAATTGGGAGGGACTTGATATCATCCCCCTTCTCCCCTAGTAAATCAAATAAGTATTGAAAATATGACAGAAGATAGCTAGCTTGAGCTCTAGCTTTCTGTGTGTCCAGTTTTTTAGTTTGATGGACCATCTCTTTAGAGGCAAACTCATGGGTCTCTTGTTAAGGGCTCCAGTCTTTTCTTGCATAGTCATGTATGTATTCCTGATAGTGTAGGCAGCCATCGTCAGCTTCACTTGTTTACTGACACACTCTGGGTTGGTTAACATGATAAACATTTTCTCTTTTTTTAAATTTTTTTTTTTTTTTTTTTACTTTTTCACAGTAACAAAAGATCAGCCCAAGGGGATCGTTTATCAGCAATAACCATGGCTTTGCAGTATGGATCAGAAAGTGATGAGGATGCAGCTTTGGCTGGTAGGAACTGAAATGCAGTTTCTCTATTTATTTTCTTTAATTAAAATGTTTGGAATAAGCAAAACTGTAGAGCTCCTTATACATTCAAATATCTTTATTTCAAAAATATTTTGCACTGTTTCCAAACCCAGCATGTAATTCTGTTAAATGCAATCTCTGTTTCCTCTTAAGTATGAATTTATAAATGTACGGCTGATAAGATAGGGTAGGCCAAACTTGCTTGCATGTTTGTTTTATATTTAGTGTTTGTGTTTCCAACTATGCATATCCAAGCTTTAGGAAACTGTGGCTTGTTTTTATTACTTCTAAAATGAAACAGAAGAGGAGACGCTGCAGGAGACATTGGGTACTCCTTTCAGTAAAAGAGATTTACAGTGCTGCAGTTGTTTGAGAGAAATCTCCTTCACACTGGCTTGTTCTCTCTTTCTCTCTTGTGCTATTGGGTCTTCTAAGTGCCTGTTAGTTTTGTGGGTTTTTTGTAAATTGAAAATAATCTTACAAGGTATAAGGACAGATAAATGTTAGAATTTAATTTAGAAATATCTGATCTAGTCTAGCAGTCATGAAGTCTTGTATGAAGTTTTATGTTAACACAAAAACACATAAAAAAGCATGTGTTCATACAGCATCCTCAGTTTCATAATAAGCTGCTTTAGCATTATGCTACAATCATCTCTGCTGTAATACATGGATTATATCAGATATTTCAGTATTGTCATAATTTGTTACAGGTTGTCTTATATAAATTAGCCTGTCTTGATAGTACATTCTCAGTAACTTCCCTGCATTAATCTCAGAGCAGGTTTCTGCTTTTGTACATATACTGTTGTTTTATGTTTTGTTTACATTATTTCTGCGTTGATGTGAAATGACACATCTCTTCAGTACATATTTTTGGGGCATTTATTTCACACCTGGTAATAGAGTTGTACTCACTGCTGTTTTCCAGTGGATGGATATGCTGTAGAATTTTTTGGATCATTTTAGATCTTACAGCAAGCAAAAGCATTTTTATTTCTGGTTAGCCGAGTTCAGTTATTGCTTCAGAGCAGCTACTTTCTGGGAGGTGTGAGGAGTGTTTATTAGCTTGGTTCAGTGTGAATGTTAGATGCTATTTTTGCAAATTGTAATTCTGTAAAGATGCATAGTTTTTTATGTCTGTATGTGATTTAAATTCTTGAAGTGATTCTCATAGGGCCTTTCGTATGCATCTGAGATTTTTGCCTTGCTGCTGTCAAACCTCTTCTATCTTTATCTCATCCACTTAACAGGCAATGTCAATATTTTTGTCAGACCTCTGTCACTCTTAAGATTTTTCTGACCCTCCAACATACTGCTTGGACATTCCTATGCTTTTAGGTTCCAGATGAAAAGGATTTTAATTTAAACCAACTGATCTTTTCATTAGTTGCTTTGGTATCTCATCTTTTTTCCTTCCTCTAACATTTGTTTATGAGAACTAGGCTGCATGACTGGACATTAAAAGAACTTTCTCCTTGATACAGAGAACTAGATCTTTATGAGCTTCTTTGATTGTAGAAGTTGCCTAAGCAGTGAATATTGGTTTCCAACTTGGGAGTTTATCCTCACAGTTTCAGAGGGTGTTATGGTGTGATGGAGCTTGTAGATTTCCAGCTCACATGTACTAGGACATGAGCAGCTTCTACAGCTCCCTTGCTCCTCACTATAAATCTGTAAAGACAGGCATTGATGGTATTTATGTATTACTTATAAATATTTCATTAGGTAAACAGATTTTTTTTTTTTTATTATTTAGTTTAGCAATGATTTAATACTGGATGCTGCTTTTGGTTTGGTTTATTTTTGGTTAGACTTCGTGCATTCATTGTTGTGTAGGTGCTTTGGAACCACAAAGGAGACAATGTTGAAAGCAAATCTGAGTAAAGACTAATTTTCTTTCATATACATTCAAATACTTTCTCTTAGCTCTTCTGTGTCACCATTGAGTAAGAGTACATGTGTATATGTGTTTATATCTGATAATAAAACTCAGTTCTAGTTGTAAATGAGATAGCTTCCACGTTTTTGCAGTGAAATCAATTTAACATCACTGCATTACGAAGCTGTTCCTTTATTAGGAAACAGTCACTGCGGTATGGAATGAACAGCAGGAAATACATTTCGTTTGGGACTGTTGAAGGGCATGTATTTTGTGGTTATGGTTTACTGTGTTGGTTTGTTGTTTTTTTTTTTTGTATCTGCTAACTGTTGTTGTGGTAACAGCTGTGTGAAAGGGGAATAACTGACTGTTACTCTCCACTGCCAGCATGTGCTTGGTGGGGATATGGGACCTGGTGCTACTGCATATTAAACAATCTACAATCTTGCATTACATGGTTTGTTCCATAGCAAGATAGGGATTTTTCTGTCTTCTGATTTGAATAATACATTATTCTTCAGTTCGTAAGATAACAGGTTTCATGGTAGGAGAACACTATCATTTTCTGAATATGTAAGAATATATAATGTTTGACACATCACTTTTAAAGAACATACACATCATAATGAAAACGTTTATAGCTGTATTACACTATTATGTAAACACTTTTAGTGCCTGTTTAATTTACTTAGATTTTTATTTTAGGGAGTGCTTTGTGTTCTGCTTTTAATACAAAGGAAGTACACTTCTTATTTAAGGCATTGAACTGCTTTATTGCTGGCTGCCACAGGTCAGAGAACAGCAATATGCTTGACTAGTTTCTTATTTTTTCTGTTTCATAAAAACAAGTTGTTCTGCTTTTTATATTCTATTTCTTACTTTCTGATGGAGCACTCAGAACAGAACTGTTTGAGTAAACAAAACTGAAGACCACATTTTCCTGAATAATTATTTCGGAAACTTACTTTACCTGATAGGATTGTCTTAGCTGTTAGCATTTGTGTTTGAGTTGATATGTTAGGTACAGGAAAACTTAGTGCTACCTCCAGACTCTTGTTTCTACCTGAGTTACTCTGTCCAGCTCCTGCTTTGCTGGCTACTGTGTAGTAGATGATAGGCCATTAATTGATGCTGATTGGCATACAGGTAAATTAATTAGGATAATTCTGAGTGATTTCTGTGAATCAGTAATGAACGCCTTCATTATCTGTTTGGACATCTACTGAGGTCTGCTTGTGTTTTAACTTGTATTTAACTTGTCTGGCAGGTCCCATACATTCACATAGATCCGGAATGTCAGACAGCAGAGGAAAAAAGATAGTACTATGTTGTTATGCAGTCAGTGTCCCCTGGCTTTGTCATCATTTCAATATGTCTTTACTGAACTTGGATAGAAAGTTTGAAACACTGCCAGCCCTCTGAGCAATAATGAAAATGCCAGCTGGAAACTTGGCTTAAGTGTTAGAGAACTGTCTTTTGTGTAACTGAATTACCCAGTGTGTCATCTGCCAAGCTTTCCTTCAAACTTTAACTCATAAAAGGGAAAAAAGGGTGAATAATTTAACTCTAGTACATGCAGAACCACATAGATTTTGTGTTATGCCTAAATGCAGGGTACAGATTACATCATTTGTGTTACTGAGAGGTGTGGAAAGATTGTCCATTTATTCCTTTCCATCCTGTATTTCCACTACCAGCTTTTTTTTTTTTCCTTCCTGTTGTGTTTCTGTTGCTCATGTAATGTTTCTCCTAACTTTATCTGCAGTAAATGTTAGTTCTTCATAGCATTTCTTTCATCCTAATCCTGAAGCATAATATATGCTTCATATAGATAACTAGAGAAGTTTACTATAAAATTTGTAAATACTTTATTATGAAACATTTATGCTAATTATATAATAATTCTAAAATATTTTTTTCTCCTTCATTTTGCTGCATATATTAGAGGTGCAGGGCTTAGTGTCAGTTTTTTCTGCTAAACTTCACCGTTTTTTACCTGAGCTGTGATTAATATGGTCTAAAGGATTATAGAAATTTTGAAGTCACCTTTTTGATACATATGCAAAAATTCATTTCTAGTTTGCCATTTTGCTTAACTGGCTAGACAGCTTTGAGAATTCTAGACATGGTTTTTCAATTTGTATTCTGGTTGTGAGCTCTTGTCAGATAGCAGAATGGCAGTAGTTCAATATACAAAGGTGTTTGGCAGAAATACTAGTATTAATGGTTTGATGGGTAAATAAGGACATAGCTGTTGTATAGGTAGTGTGTGGTTGAATTGTCCTGTTACATAGTCTCATACATGAACACTTCTCAGCCCTTGTAGGTGGCAAGGATGTATTACCAGTGACAGAACTGAGATCTCATCTGATAAGAGAGATTGCAATACCTAGATAAAAGTGCTGGTTTTGTCAGCTTGAGACTCATAAGTTATATTTGTGATGTCCTTTTCTGAGGTATGCATCTGACTGCCAGAGAGTGAGTGAACACCCTCGATTGAGGGCTGCCTTTTCTTCTGGTTTAGATCTTTATCCATTTGAAAAGTCAACCAAAAAATACTCACTCTAAGTTGTCCTGCTGAGTTTCACATTTTTCCTTTCTGTGCAGCTGCTGCTCGTTATGAAGAGGGAGAATCTGAAGCCGAGAGCATTACTTCTTTCATGGACACTTCTAATCCTCTTTATCAGCTTTATGACACAGTTAGAAGTTGCCGGAATAATCAAGGCCAGCTCATATCTGAACCCTTTTTCCACTTGCCCTCCAAGAAAAAGTATCCTGATTATTATCAGCAAATTAAAACACCTATTTCCTTGCAGCAGATCAGGTAAGAAAACAGCATGCAAACTACATCTGGTGGGAGACTATTCAAGGATTTCTTTTATTTCCAGAATCCTATCCTGTGGTTGGGTTGTCGATACCTAATGCAGTATATACCATCTTTTCTCTAGATTTGATTGTTTCTTGTTTCAACTCAGTTCTGCATCAGTCTTTTGATCGTCTTTTATAGATGGATGCTGTTTGGTTTATTTTCCATGGAGTTTCATTTGTAATGTGCCTGAAATGTGGCCATATTGATAATTCTGAAGGCTAGGTGGGCTGCAGAGATGAAAGCTTCTGCAGAACCCCTTGCTATTCCCTTTCCTTGACCCTGATGGCTTGGTTACCTCTTACTGCCATGTTTCTTAAATTGGTAGTCTTCAGCAATGTGAATTATAGAAAGACACTTGTAATTACAACTAGTAATTGCTAGGTAGTTTCTTTTGTCTAGGTCACAGTATAACTCTGGAGAATAATTCTTTTCATTCATGATGTAGCTAGTCTGGGCTGAAGTAAGCAGTGCACCATTTGTAAATCTGTGAGCTGTGAAAAGTTCATGAAGTGCCAGAGTGCAGTTGTCAGATTAAAAACTCGAGTGAAAAGAAGTGAGCAGTATCTTTCTTTAGTGGTCCAAGATAATCTAATACAATGGATATGTGTCAGGGTCCTGAGTGCATTAATAGACCTTAATGGCACTGACCAGCCTCGGGTGGCCCTGGTCTTGTGCCCAGTGGCCACTGGGGCTCCAGTCCCTGCCTGGGTTACACTGCAGGAGCACTGGTTCTCCAGCTTCAGTGAGTGAGGGCTGGACCCCAACATTGTTCACGTGTTTGTAATCCATTCTAATACATAGGTCTATAAATTTTAGTTGTACCATAATCTGATCTGCTAGATGTGGTATAATTGTTGAAAAATAACTCAGAAAGTAACAAAGCTGCTTTTTTTTTTTTTTTTAACCTGTCAAAGGGTGTTTTGCATGTGCTGGGGTACAAGTATGGAGCTGCTACACTGTCTATTCATCAGGGACTTTAAAGCATTTTTTCTTATGTCTTAAGACACTTACTTTTCCAAGCCAACAGCTGTACTGTCTTGAATGAAGCACAAAATGTACTTGATGGAAAAAAAAAAAAAAGGTGAAATTGAGAAAAATCATTGACAGTTGTCAGGAAGCTTTTTGTCTGAATGTACCAAAGAGTATCAGCTTAAATGATCTATAAATGGCTTTAATTGGGAGAAACCTTCCATTAAAAATATCCTTGATATCAATTATAGGACAAATAATTTGCCATAGGGAGACAGCTCTGTTTCTGCATTCCTTACAGTGTAGGCAGGTTGCATCTGGCTATGTGAGCAGTACAGCAATTTCATGCAAATGTATGAAGAACTGTAGAAAAAAAATTATTTATTTTCTGAGAGCTTAGAAAATAAAAAGAGACAGACCATCTTTTTAGAAACAGTGTTTCTAGCTCACAAGTTAAAGTACAGTATTTATAATAGTCCAACTTCTTTTAGCAAATTCTGAAATTCAACTGTTCTTTAAATTACCACATAATCTTTACTTCTTATTATACCTAAAAAGCCTTGACGTCATGCATATGTGTACTTAATTGAAGTGCTTTAAGGGGCAACTGAAGCTGGCTTGATTTCACTGATATTTCAAATGTCTTTAGTTATTCAAAACTGCCACTCATCAGGGGTGGATTTCTTTGGTGTTTGGGTTTTTTTTGGTGTTGAGGACATTTTCTGTGTTTTGTACTTCTTGGGTTTTTTTGAGATGTACATACAACAAGCATATCTTCTGTTCACATATGGGGACAGAAAAAGTTAATTGTCATAGTGAAAGGTTGAAGGTGTTGGAGTAAAGCCTAGCATTCCTGTCTCATATCTGTTTCACTTTGGCATCTGGCTACCTAGGTTATCCTGCCAGAGTGACCTGTGAAATGTGTAGCCATTGCAAATTTTAGAGCTAGTCATGTATTTCAGGAGTTTGTGTGTGTTAAATGCAGGAAAAGCCTTGAAAAAAAACCACATGATTTCTGGAGGGAGAGTATGGGCATGTTTTGTTTTAATGCAGTGTACATTATAATTGTCATGAACATTTGAGCTGAGTGCTGGTCCCGAGCTGTTCCTGGATGTGGGAGATAATCCTGCTGATGGCTTTAATTTTCTGTTACTTCCCTTGTGACTTGCTCTTTACAGAATCACAGGATAACTGAGATCAGAAGCGAGACCATCCAGTCCAACCCCTGGCTATAGCAGGGTCACCCGGAGCTAGTTACCCAGACCTGTATCAGTCCAGTTTTGAATACCTCCACATGTGGAGAATCCACAAGCTCTCTGGGCTACCAGTGCCAGTGTTTGACCTCTCTCACCGTTTTTTTTTTTTTAAAAAAAAAACAAAACAAAAGGGATGTTTTTCTTGTGTTCAGGTGAAATTTCATGTGTTTCAGTTTGTTCTGGTTACCTCTTGCCCTGTCAGCAGGCACAGCTAATAGGAATCTGACTTCCTCTTCGTTCCCTCCTGCCAGATGTTCATACACACACTGATGAGACTCCTCTGCCTCAAACAGGACAAAACACTAAGCTGTAGAACAAGAATACCCTATTTAAAAAGAAAGGCATGACACTGTGAGGGCTGTGACTTTCGAGTGTCATAAAAGTGCATGGTGTGGAGGTTATTATGCAAAATTAACATTGCTGGTGAAAAGTCATTCTGTAATTATAAATGACAGGAGGAATAGTCAGGAAATAATGCAGGAGAATATGTTCAGTTACCCGGTACATAAGTGCTAGATTCTGGCAAACTTACAAGAACTGTGCTTCTCATTAAATTTTACAGTGTTACTATGATCCCTAAGGCAAGTGGGTCAGGCTTTTCTACACCAGAGGAGGGAAGTGCTCCAGGGAATTCCCTGGCAGCAGTTCTCTCCTAAAACATGTGTGGGTGCACGGGCACTGAAATTGGTATCTTCATTGGCACACCCTGGTGTCTTGCATTCCAGGAAGCTGCGGTTGTAGTTGAACTTATAAAAAATGCGTGGATCTAGTGTATAACATGCTTAGTTTTGTGTGATGTCTACTATTTGAGGATTTGAAATGCATTTATCTTACGAATGTGCATTCTTTTGGACAGTGGTCTCTGACACTAATCTAAACGTTACATTTTACTGCACTGGCATGTGTTGAGGTTTTTCTGAAACTGTGAGATTTGTGGTGGCTCTTGTTGCGTTTGGATTAATTATTACTTATTTGAGTTGCACCTATACTAAATGTGGTCATCTGGTCAAGCATATTTAACAACTTCTAGTAACATGGCAAACAAAGGAGTGGAACTTACCTTGAAGTAAGGGAGAATCCTGTCTGGGTTAAAGCCTGAATGGTTTATAGAGAATTTTTTTTTTTTTTTAAATAGCAGAGCTTAAGCCCATTACAAATTAAGTTCTTAATTTTAAAAAAATAAAATTTACATTACGATTTTATTATTACATTTACTTTGGAAAAATAATATGTCACTGTTTCTGTTTGCTTAATTTATGAATGAGCCAATTGGGAAAATATTCCCTATAGAGAAAATTATTACTCTGTAATATTTAGAATACTTTGTAAATTTTCACTTAGTCTGAGATTTAGCAGATCTTTCATTCCTTTTTTCACTTAATATTATTTGTTTGACTATCGTACATTTTTAAAATCATCTGTCTGTATAACCAGTTTTCCTACCTTAGCAAGTACTTTCTGTGCATATTGTATGTAAGACCTTTATAAAATCACAGGTTCAAGTTAACAAGGTTCCCAACGACCCTTATAAGACTACCATCATTCCTCAATAGGATATTTGTCAAATGCCTTTCTTGATTGCATGAATTCTTTGTTACTGGGCTTTTTCCCAAAGAGGCAAGACTAGCACTTCACCATTTCTGAATAAAAGGAAATGTTACATGAAAACTGTTTTTAACCATGTAAAAAGTTTGTTGTGAAACTGCATTTCATATTCTAAATTCAGAAAAGTCACGATACTTTAGTTCTGCTGAGTTTGAGTCTGGTGAAACCTGTTCAAAGTACTTCTGTGAATAAACTTCATAATTAATCATGCTATTGTTTACTGACATCAAGTGCATTGAAGAGGATGGTAAGGTAGGAAGTTATTTGCAGACTAGAACAGTATTACTTTTATGCCTGTGCATTTTTTATTCTTTATATGTGTTTTTGGAGGTTGTCTATCTTTCCAAACCGTATGGGCCAAGTCTTGATTTTTACTTTTGCTGTCTGGCCTTTCATGAATACAGCTGTGAATGTAAGTTGCTAGCTTAAAATCAGGTGGCCTGCACATTGATTATTTGGTTGTGGATAAGCAAGTGCTGATAGAAGCAAGATTTTATTTCCTGATAAGATAACTTGAATGATAGCTTATCCTTCCTTTTTTAAGACAGTGTTTCCTCTTCCTCTTGTCTTCTGCCTCTAGGTTAAGATTTAAAGGAGTAAGATATAATTAGGCTGCTTTTCTTCACTTCTGAGATATTGTCAGGGTCCTCGCCTACTCCCATCAGCCTAAAGATTCTGTTTCTACAGGGTCACAAGAGAGCAGAGAACCAGCGCACGTAGAATGGTATATTTAAGACTAATGGCAACTTAGAATGTTTTTCCTACTTTTTGGTGCTTCAGTGTTCATCTGCTGCATTATAATGTTCATAGGTCACTGCCTAAATACACACAGATGGGAGTTAGTGTGGGATGACAAGGCTATGTGGAGTCAGTGGTATATTTTTAGGTGAAGCATTTGATAGTAGAGTTCTGGGGTCTGCTTGAGCTACCTCTCTGTCTCTGGGAGAAGAGGTAAAGCAAATCCCAGATTTGTTAGTGTCATGTGGCTTGGGATCTGCTGATATGAAGAGTCGCCAATTTCTTTTACCATATCATGAAATTGTACAGGATGGATTTAGCATTCTCTTTGTAAAAAGAAAATTTTTGCAGGCAGGATGTATTCCCTAGGAAACACTATTGCCTTGCTTGTTCTGGCAATAGGCAGAAGGATATGGCAAATTCCCCCTTTCCTCAGTTCAATAAAACTGTCCCCTAAACATACAGAATTTGATTGATCAGGATCTGTTACTAAACAGTAGATCTGATTTATAGTATCATGCTGACAGTGTAACTTCATAGATTCTGAATTTACAGGTGATAAGGATATAGAGTTTTCTATTGGCTATGGTGTATTAGCGATATCGTCATTCATCTTGAGTATTTTTAGTCAGTGTAATCCTAGACCTTCTGCGATTCTTTCAGCTTTAAGTTGGATGCAGAACAACTCCAAATAAAGACAAGTAGTACCAAGCGATACAGGGAGAAACAATTTGCATTGAAGAAGTATTACTTCAATTAAGATGTCCTTTAGGTTACTCTTTCAGAAAGCTGCATCCAGACCTCAGCAATCAAAATGTGAATTTACAATTCTGTAATTCTAATTTGGTAATTAATTGGAAGACTAGATACTTTTACAGTTTTTATTCTTCCTGCTGTCCAGTCTCCCGAAACTTGTTTAAATTCTCTGGCAGAGGGCAAACATCCCAGAGTTGCACAAGGATGATTATAAACTACATGCTACTAATATTTAAGCAAAATTTGAGCCAGGAGTTGAAAAGCAGGAACACTGCATGCAGACTGGCTTACTTTCAAGATCTACTCTGCAGTTCATCCTCTTCTGAGGACTTTATCCCAGCTTGGTTGTTAAGAATTCTGATTTTCTTGCCCTCCAGCAAATGTTTTTATCAATAAAAAACATTGAGACATATTAGACATTTGACTTAAGCATTTACTATTCAAATCTAAAGCAGTTGTGGTAGTATGCACTTTATTAGATCCTTAGTTAGAGCCTTATTCTGCAAATTTGTCAGTATGAGTTGTCACTTGGAAACAAATTATGCTGATGGGGTCTACATCCAAGGGGAGAAAAAAGTCTGTTGGTGAGCATTTCTCTCCAGTGCTGCTCCTTAATTGATTTCTGCACAGGACTTTCTTCTTGATTTATTTTTTTCATGTGCTGATTATTTTTTTTTTTATGTTCTTAATCTCTAAAGTAGTTTAGCTGACTTGAGTACCTTTATCTAAGATGTAGAATTGCCTTTAGACATTATTTTTGTTTTCCATTAGTCTTTTGAAAGTTTGAATCTATTTTACAAACATCTGTAATAACATCAGTAAACAAGGAAATTATCGCTTGTTTACACACTTAATTACCCTATGTGCCTTGCCAAATTAGAATGTTCTTAAATAATTCTGTTTTGAAAAAATTAAAGCTAACTTTTGCTGGTTTTGATAAATAAGAACTTATTAGTTGGGGTTTTTGATTCAAGTTTTATAGGCCTTTCTATTCCATGTTTTCTTGAGTATTCCCTTAATGATGTGTTAGCTTTTGTAACACCAATAGGTGTTTGTGTGCTGAAGTCCTGTAATTGCTTGTCAACAGGAATTAATTTTAGTCAATAGATTTTGCTTTCTGTACCAGAGAGTGTTCAGGTTAGCTGGAGGTGATGTAAGGTGGCCTGTAGTGTTTGTTACCAGATGGTGGCAAAGAGCATGAAACAGAATCAGTGTTTATGTTCTCATTAGTTATAAGCCTGTGCATCATATGCTAGTGGTTTAGGGCAAAATAATCCTGAATTTAATGGGCTTTTTGTTTTGGTTTTGACTTTTTTTAATACCAGTCACATATTCCTTAACCTATGCAAATAATTGTTGCTGGAGTTTTACAAGGTAGAAATGGAGGCTGACTTTGCCTTTTCTTCGTGGAAATTTAAGTGGCATCCAAACTCTTTTGCTTTTGAGGGTGGGTGGGTGTGTTTTGTGTAGTAGTATTATTATTATATTTGTATTTTTTACTAATCTAATGAAAATTATATTGGTAACTCTCCTTAATTTGGAATTGCAGAGTGAGTGAAGCTGACAGGAAAACTTTTAAATTATCTGTTGTTTCTGGTGGAAACATTGAAAATAATCTAAACAATATGCATAAAGGTTTGCATGATACCGATGTCTTAAAGTGTTAAAAAAGATACATGAACCTAAAATGGTTTGGTTTAAATGAGAACAGCAACAAGTAATTTTCTCCACGTCTTACATTTAGGATATTTGTCCAAAATTTTTTTTTTTGCTTTTCTTATAGTCTTTGAGGACACACTAGTTCTTCAGATCTGAAAGAAATGAAAAAATCCACTACATTTCAGTAAGACATATGTAGCTGCCATCCTGGCAACATGTAGTCAGTTGGATGTCTCCTGCAAAATGTATTTCCATCGTGACAGCTTTATAGACAGGTGTGCACTTCTCAGTAGTTTTTAGAGCAGTTTCAGCTCTGTGCCACGTTTAGTCCAACTGTGACTTCCTCATCCTTGGCTGACTAGTGAAGAGTCCTGTTTAACAACAAGTTGAACACTGTTACTCTTTGTTTGCTGGTTCAGCTGTAAGGTCACCCTGGCAGGTAAGGTTTTGGCCTAAAAGCTACTATATTAAATTTAGTTTGTGGTAGTGCTTATGCCCCATCAGGCAGGCTCATGTTCAGCTAGATGCTGTAGAAAGCAGACCAGGTTTAAAGGCAGTGTGTAACTGGTGGATGTGACAGGCAAGCGGGTGAGAAAGGAGATATGAAGGAGGATGACTGCATTTTGCAGTTATGATAGGGTTTGGTTTTTGTGTTGTTGCAGATTACTGTTTTCTGTTGTGTTTAATGAGGTGTTGGAAGGTTTAAAAGAGTTGGCTAGAACATCCACCACTTTTGTGCAGGGAAATACGAGAAAACACATTGTTATTGGCAAACTTAGTGCACTGATTCATCCACTTAGCATATGAAAAATGACTTTTTCTTTGTCGTTAGTTCTTTTCTGACTGTTTTCATATGACATGCACTTTGCTGATAACAGCACTCAACAACTAAGCGGCTTTAAGAGAAGGCAAAAGTTGAAGGGGGATAACAGGAGTGTTGGGCAGTTTTGTTTCTCACTGAAGATGAGTGGAATTGATGTGCAGGAAAGGCAGTGTTCGTGGCTGTGTGGAGCTAAACCCATCAGATTAACATCATACCCAGGCCCTACAGGTCACAGCTGAGGTGTACTGGATTCGTCTGAGCAGGCTGTGCTTCTGCCTCATCTGTACCACATCTTGTATGAAAGCAGGACTGCAGTCTGCTCAACTTTAAAGAAGGCAGCTTTCAGAATTATTAAAGTCATTCTTTAAGAGGAGATATGTTTCCCTAACATAGTTATAATTGAAAGATGTTACTGCAGCATCAGAAAAAGAAAACACATTCCTGTAATTAGAGCTCTTTGGATATAGATTTATTATGAAAATGTTAAGGAACTGTTTTGTGTGTGTAACTTGTGAAATACGGTATTTCTCTTTTGTTAGAACCAAGCTGAAGAACCATGAATATGAAACTTTAGATCAGCTGGAGGCTGATCTGAACTTGATGTTTGAAAATGCCAAGCGCTACAATGTTCCCAATTCTGCCATCTATAAAAGAGTGCTGAAAATGCAGCAGGTTATGCAGGTATGTGGAGTAGAACAATAAAAAGAATATAACTTCACACATTAGTTTATTTTCTCAATGAATATTTTTGCAAAAAATTTTTAACTAGACCTGTATTTGCAGTAGAATTTTCTTGCTTGGGGGAAGTACGGGAATGAAGAGCATCATAGGGTGATTTTTCTTCAGCACATCTGCTGCCTTATGTGATTTCTTTTGGTCACTTTTATTCCTTACTATGACTCTTAACCAAATTAAGTTGTGAGAAAATCGATGATCTGGGAGGACTTGCAGGTAATGGGAGGATGCTAAAACACTTCAGATTTCATGAAGCGTTCCAGCTAAGTACTGCTGTTTGTAATGGCTTTGTTTTCAAATTTGTTCCTCAAAATTTTTTCTGACAGTTAAAAATAATTATACTGCTGTTTTATATTGGTCATCTTACATTAAATATGTCACTGGAAATATTTTGATAATGGTTTAGTCTCAAAACCTGTAGATGCATCTTTCATTGTGCATCTGTTCTGTTCTGATATTTAATACTGTTCTGGAGATGTCCAACGGTGAGTTTGGCTTCAGGCATTTGTTATTTTTTCAGGCAAAGAAGAAGGAGCTTGCTAGGAGAGATGACATTGAGGATGGAGACAGTATGATTTCTTCAGCTACATCTGATACTGGAAGCTCAAAAAGGAAAAGGTATGCACTTCTGTCGTTCCTGCAGACCATGATTGCTAAATCTTTTATTTGTTAAAGAGAATATTAAGCCATGGTTTTTAGCATGTGTAAGGATTTGTAATTTTGAAACTTAACCTCAGTAAGTGTTGGTTCTAATTGATTCAGTACTATTTGCTGACTTTTATTTTCCTCTATAGGCCTATTAGTTGGCAGTTGTCAACATAACTGGTTCAGTAAATGACACAGACAATATAGTTGCATGAATTAAGTGATCTTGTCAGTGGATTTCAGGATTTTTATCTGTGGTTTGTTTTGGGGGGTTTTTTTTAGCCTGGTGTGTGGACTGTCTTCACAAGTTGTTAGCAATTATTATTTCTTTACTACTACTTCTCCAATATATGACTGTTTATGTAGTTTGGGTAGCAATTTCAGAATATAATTAAAGTTAACAGTATGGTTGAATAAATGTTTTGAAAGTTTACAGTACTGGTCTATGAATGTCTTTATTTGGCATAACGTTTTAATTTTTCATGACCTGAACTCTGCTTGACAAGTTTTCATCGTTCATGTTAGAGGACTGCTTCTCTCTCTCCCTTCTGAATTTGCACTCTTTGGTTGGTTACCTGTCAACAGCTGGGCCAAAGAGGGTATTTGACAGATAGATAAACTGAGTATAAAGGTTGATTATTTACTGTAATGAAAACAAAATTCACAGTGATTTAAAATATACTCTTTTAATGAGCAGTAGTGATGGTTTCTGGAAAGTATTCTGTAAGAGGGTAGCTGTTGTGTAATTAATATTGGTGATGCATCTCACTCCACCAAGGGATGGTTTCTCTAGTCTGCTCTCATAGTATGGTTTGAAACAGGTTCCAACTTTTGGTAATATTGTTGCAATAGTAGCAACTGATGGTGTAAAACTGTAATTCAGCATCTTCCTTTGGTGTTGATCATGACTTTGAGCTTCCTGTATCTTTAGTTCTTTGTTTTGTCAAAGTAAAAAGCAGTTGTGGAGGGAGGAAGGGAGTGGAATAGAGCATCAGCAAAGATTCACTTACGAGCAGTCAAGTATTGCAGCAATGTACACTCATAAAAAATCTGCAGAGATAAAATGTTAACGTGGATTTAGGAGGTGGTACAGTCTAGGGATGGCAGGAAGAAGAAAGGTAGTGGGACAGTAGGACAGACCTGTGATGTGAAGATCAGGAAGGAACAAATCATGAAAATTGCTAGTTTTGTGAACTTTAGATTCAAAGAGAAATACTAACCTAATCAAGCAAGTCGTCAGTGTCCTTTTAACCCCATGTTGCTTTTGATCACCTTGTGCAAGAGAATACTGAAATACTTTAAAAAAAAAAATCTGTCAGGCCTTGTCATCTAAGAACAATAAAGGAGAAAAAGAAAAAGTTGTCTTCCTATGTAAGGGAAATCAAAATGATTTTATTTTCTTCATGCCTGAAGAGAACCTGAAAATGCTTTTGAGGTTGACAGTTCAGTCCTTATTATCAGTCTCACTTGCTGGATGATAGGAAGTAAAAGAAGATTGTAAATGCTGCTGACAATAGAAGGGAAGCACTGAGGAATTCCAAAATGTGACTGGAAAAGGAAACTAATAACCCAGGCAAAATTCATAGAAAGTTGTTAGAATGTCCCCTTTTATGTATCAGATGCATGACCTGAATCTTGAGTATTGGCAGGCTTCTTACTATTTCTGCTTTGGTTTTGCTTTATCTGCTTTCATTGAACTAAATGTTAAAACTGGAAACATGTTAAAATGTGGAATTCGGTAGCATATCTCTGTTCTGGCATTGCTCATCTGCTTGTGTGAACCACTAACTAAGAGTTTCCAGCAGTGAAGATAATGTAGAAAAAAAGGTTTAAACCTATAGAAGATACATTTTGAATTTTCTCACATGTTGTGACATAAATTTTCATTAGTTATTTTGCTGACCTCAGCAAGGGGCAAGAGATATCTGAGGCATGATGCTGTGCTGTATTAGGCATATTTTAAATGGAGGAAAAGATGGAAATGATGGAATATTATAGAAGTGATGGGAAATCTGAGAAGCAGTTTGGTTTCTAGCAAGTTGTACAGTGATGTTTTGCACATTCTGCAAATGAAGGTAGTTTTTGTTCTCATCTTTACAGCTAATATAGTTAAAGATAGAACTGCTTGAGTAAGTCTTACAGAGATTGCAATTTGGAAGCTGTGTTAAAGGTGCATTGTAGAGAGTACAGTTCTAAGTGCCACGGTATCTGATCTGAGATTATACATCATTAACATAAGCTTTCCTCTCCCTTACCTGATTTGCTTATAGGTCATGTAGATTTCTTGAGACAACCATAGTTGCTACACACAGGATAACTATAAAAGTTTGTGGTGCTAGCATGTATGTGGCCATTTTCTACCTGGGTTTGTAGTTTTGGTGAGCATTAATGACTTGTAACTTCATTTCACTGTGTTTGACAGATATTTAAGCAATTCAGAACCTTCTTTTTACTACATTCTTGACGTCCTTATTTTCTTGTATCTGGTACTGAAGAAGATACAGAATTTCTCTGAGATAAGTAGCTCAGGTCTTTGATACTCTGTGTTCAGCAGAGGTAGTCATGGAGATACTGCCTGGGGGTTTTTTCCCTGTTGGCACTAGGTCCTGAGGTCTTGGATTCAGATGCCTAGTCCTAACGGATCTGTTTTCAGCTGGAAGTGATTAGAGCTCTTTTTGACCTTTGCACTTTTGAAGGTTAGTTATTTGTTTTACTCTGTAGAACACTTAAACTCAAGGTGAATGAGAGAAAAATTGTATCTTAAAGTTGGTTTCCTGTTTATTTAGCAGACTGCTGGTTATGATGATGTCATTATTTGCAAGTGGACCTATGTCTTAAATGTTGAACTTCTTGCATGTGTGTTTGGGTGGTTGTATTTTCATGGTAGAGGATAATATCATTTTGATATTGGTGTTGGAAATGGGGAAAAGAGCCTCTGACATTTATTCTTTTCTTTTTTTTATTCTTTTCCTTAATCTAACAGTAAAAAGAATATACGAAAACAACGAATGAAGATCTTGTACAATGCAGTTCTGGAAGCTCGAGAACCTGGCACAGGCAGACGGCTCTGTGATCTGTTTATGGTTAAGCCATCCAAAAAGGACTATCCAGACTATTATAAAATCATCTTGGAGCCAATGGACTTGAAAATGATAGAACACAACATCCGCAATGATAAGTATGCAGGGGAAGAAGCCATGATTGAAGACATGAAGCTCATGTTCCGAAATGCAAGGCATTATAATGAGGAAGGCTCCCAGGTACTGTTTTAATTCTGTGGTCACGCTTACCTCTCTGCTTCTTTGCAGACATATAAATTACGTTAGGGTGGGTTAGCTTTGACTGTTACTCACATTATTTATGATAATTTTTATTGAACTGAAATAGAAATACTACTTTCTGCTGACGTTTTAAATTCGTCTTTGTTTGTAGTTATATAAACATGAAGTGCAACATGCTCCTTTGCAAAGGTTAGACTTACTGCCTGTTAGCTAAACTTGGTCCTCCACTACAAAAAAGGTCAGCTGAATGTTTCCTAGTATGTTTTAAAAAAATAAGCTGGTTACTAAATTCTCATTATTCATCCTCAGTTAATTACCTAAAGGTATTTGCACAGTGAACGGTTATCAGCATCTGATTTGGAGCTTAGAACCTCTGAGAAGGGATGTGTTGTCAAGAAACCAGCTTTGTTTTCATGGAAATGGAGAATGTGGGAGATCAGACTAGAAGATCTGACTTGTTCAGCCTAGCAAAAGGAGTCTGAAAGGAAAATGCTTTTCATTTACAAATATTTTGTAGTGTGTTTCTATATTGTGATGTTTCTCAGCCAGCAAGGATGATGTTGTGGAACAGAGTGGTGGTAAGAAACCTCCAGCTATTTCTAATGAGGATCTTGATCAGCTACTGTACAGGACTTTATGATGAGGTGACATTCACCGGAGTTTGATTTGAAGACCCATGAGGACTGTTCTAGTCCTTTGTACATTGATGGAATCACAATTAGTTCAGGAGATCTTTCATTTCTCAGCAGAATGGTTTGATGAGGAAGTTGATAAGACAAGTGCACCTTGCTGTTTTGTAGACTTTGGAATTAAAGTGCAGCTTAATTGGATAATTTATTCAGGATTTCTATTTCCCTGATTTAGATGGTGTTCATCAGTTCTGCTTACCTGTATAACTCTATTAAAGGTGTACATTTGAGAAATAAGCCCTTCTTTTTAATCAAGTACTTCATTGTGCATTCAGCTTTTTCAAGTTAACTTTTAAATGTTTCCTGGAGGCTAGTTCTGAACTAAACACAGTAAACCTTGTTTTGATTTTGATTACTGATTAATAGGTATACAATGATGCCCATATGCTGGAAAAGATCCTTAAAGAAAAAAGGAAAGAACTGGGACCCTTGGCTGAAGATGATGATGTTGCATCCCCAAAACTAAAGCTAAGTAAGACAACCTTGAATATTGCTAAGTCTCATTTCAACACTTCTGAAAACCCAGCAAGACAGATTAACAGATCTTCCCTTTAGAATAGAAGACGTGATCTGCAAAGTTTCACTGACATGTGAAGTAGAACTGTATTTTCAAAATCAAGACAGCAGTGGCGTGTTTATATGTGCATACAGTAGAGTTTAGTTGTTGCATATAGCATTTTCTGAGAAAATTAGCTTAGAATGAAGAAAGAAAATTTAGGAATAGTTTGGAATAACTGGCATTTAATCATGTGGGGTTATCTAAATGTTACATGCTGCATTATGTGCTCAGTAACAGTTCACTAGCACACTTAATAATGTGTGCTGCTGGGTTTGCTTACAAGTAAGGTGCTTCTCAAACTGAGTAAAGATCTTAATTTCCCTGGTGAAATGTCTAGGATATCCACAGAATGATAAAAGAAATGTGAGCTTTATTTAGAAAATCATTGAAAGTCATGAAAAACAGAAGTGAAATTTCCAACAATGTCACAGATTTGCTACTACTCAAATCTTATGTTCCCTTATATTAAGTGTTCAGAATTTAGTAAACTGAGAAACATAACATTGCACAGAAAGGCTTAAAGAAAATAGCTGCACACAGCCCTCTTGCAAATAGAAATGTGTAGCTCTTAGGTAAGGTACAGGCAGTAGAGAATTTACAGGCAGAGACAGAGTAACAGATATCCTGAATTAATCAAAAAGATAATCTGATTGATAATCCCATGGGAGGCTTTATTTTACATTTTACCTGCAATAATCCTCTCTAATTTGGCATAAACGTGTCATAAAGGAATCTGATAACATTTAGAATATTAAATTTTAGTGGTAGAAAATGCCCTGTGATGACTGGATTTTTAACAGCTGTAGAGAGCAATTGATGTAGGAGCTAGTAAGACTAAATTGAATTTAGAGGAGTTTTCATTAACATTAGGTAGGAAAAGATGTTTTCCATGCTTAAGTCTGAAGAGACCTGTGCCAGGTGTACCACATAGTAACATATGATTCTGTGCTTGCCCAAAAAATAACATTTAAAAAAAATATATATTCATACAGCGATGAAGAATAAAGGAAGCTGCAACTTGGAACAGTCTCCATGTTGTGAGTCTTGTGCTCATAGCATAAAGTGGTTCCTCTGTAAGCAATTCTCAAGTGGAAGGGAGATGGTTAAGGAAGTGTGCAAGCTCTGGTTTTGTAAAGATTTTTTTCTTTTTTTTCCCCTTTTGTCTGCTTAGGTAGAAAAAGTGGCATTTCTCCTAAAAAGTCGAAATACATGACTCCAATGCAACAGAAATTGAATGAGGTGTATGAAGCAGTTAAGAATTACACGGATAAACGAGGCAGGCGACTGAGCGCCATCTTCTTGAGGCTGCCATCTCGGTCTGAACTTCCTGACTATTATGTAACCATTAAAAAGCCTGTTGACATGGAAAAGATCAGAAGTCATATGATGGCAAATAAATACCAAGATATTGATTCTATGGTAGAGGACTTTGTAATGATGTTCAATAACGCTTGCACATATAACGAGCCAGAATCTTTGATTTATAAAGATGCCCTGGTCCTGCATAAAGTTTTGCTTGAAACTCGTCGAGAAATAGAAGGAGATGAGGATTCACATGTACCCAATGTCACTTTGCTAATTCAGGAACTTATCCATAACCTTTTTGTATCTGTTATGAGCCACCAGGATGATGAGGGAAGATGCTACAGCGACTCCTTAGCTGAGATACCTGCTGTTGATCCCAACTTCCCAAATAAACCTCCTCTGACTTTTGATATTATCCGAAAAAATGTTGAAAATAATAGATATAGAAGATTGGACTTGTTCCAGGAGAATATGTTTGAGGTACTAGAGAGGGCAAGGAGAATGAACAGGTGAGTGAAGCCTTATTTTTCAGGTATCCTTTGTCTTATCACATGGGTTTAGCATGCTAACATTAGACAAAGGCTGAAGTTTTTTAAGGTGTTTGGTTTCCTTGATATGGGTATTTAGGAAACTAAATCTCAAAAGCTCTATCAAGTCTACAGTGGAATGTGTGCTTTCATTTAAAACTTAGGAAAAAGTTAGGTTTCTGCCTGAGATGATTTTTACATTAATCCTGCAAAGGCACACCTTGTGAAAAGCAGGTTTGTGCTAACTTTCAAATTGAAAAAATGAAGAGGAGGAGCTGTTCACTAACTGCTTGACTAGCAGGTCACCCTTTTGAAGCCATCAGAGTTGTATGAGTTATGGTAATACTGTGCAAAAACTATGAACACTTGCAACTTCTTGCAGTGCTTTACTTGAATAGGTAGGGTACTTCGGGATATGCAGCTGAAATCTTGACTCTGAAGGAAAGGACATTAAAACATCTACTAACAGGAGTATGGGTCTTTCAAATAAGTCAGTTTTGTTAATAATACTGTTACTACTTAAGTTTTTGGAAGTTAACAGATTGCAGAGATCCAGTCGCAGCTAGTTACCTTTGATTTTTCTGGTGTTTCAGGACTGGTATATACAGAAATATTGGTTTAGGGGAAACTATATAATAGGAACTAGAGCAGAGTAGAGTAGCAGCTGGAGCATAACTTGCCAGCGTCTGCTGCTGCTGCTTATTATGAATAAACACAGACTCTATTAGTAGAGTGAAGCTTTAGTTTTATCACTAAGTGTGGTGATTGATGGGTATGTGTTTAGGATCCTGTTTGACTCTGCACAAACTATGTTTCTACCCTGTTGTACATATTTTTGTACAGGACTGATTCAGAGATTTACGAGGATGCGGTCGAACTTCAACAGTTCTTCATTAAAATTCGAGATGAACTTTGTAAGAACGGAGAGATTCTTCTGTCACCTGCTCTCAGCTATACCACCAAGCATCTTCACAACGATGTAGAAAAGGAAAAGAAGGAAAAGCTGCCCAAAGAAATAGAGGAAGATAAGCTCAAAAGAGAGGAGGAGAAGAGAGGTAGCTACTTTCTTATCATTAATTTTAAATGTGTTAATTGAAAAATGTATGTATACATATGATATATGCTCTGCTGTTGCTGCAGCTTTGCCTACTGAAGGGACCTTAGTAGTCTTGTCCACTAAGGGTCTTGTATTTTAAAGTTATGAGAGATTTATTTTATTTTGATCCTTATCAGCCAGGCCAGATGGCTTTTAAGAAAGAGCTGTAGTAGATACTAACCTTATGTATACTCTTTAAACAGAACACACTAGGATACCAGTAGTCTTATTTCAAGGATATTATAAAAGAAAACAATAGGTTTTTACTATAGCTTTCTGCTGATAATAAACTTAGCCATGACTGTTCCAACTGACATTTTGGTCATTTCCTTTTTAACAAATACTGGTTTCTTCATGTGCTGATGGTGTTGTCTATGATCGTGCTTTTAACACTGTTAAAGAAATTATATTGAAGTAAGCCTTTTTCATTTCTTACTTGCCTACTGTGAGCACGAAAAGGAATGGGCAAGAAATCTACTGTGATGGTTCATGGTGTTTCACAGTTCTGGGTTGCTTCTGTCCATGTAATCATTGTGGAGCATGTCTAGGGGTATGAATAAATCTCTCTAATTGCTCCTTTCCGTGGATGGGAGCAGAGCTGTTAGTTCTTAGTTCTTGAATTCTAACATGGTTCATCTTCCCACATAGCACTGATGTCAGCAGCAGTAAAGTCTGGTTGCTGCAACCAGGCTCAGTATTATAAGGGGACAACAGCTGTGATGCCCTTTTTCTGTCCCTCTGAGAGCTAAAAACCCCAAAGAAAGCAAAATGTTCCTTTCTGAAGGCATCTGAGCTCAGTGCTGTCATTGAGTTCCTCCTCACTCACTGGGAGGGCTCAGTAAAAATCGGCTGAAGAAGGGAAACCTAACCTTCAGCAGCAGCAGTAGCAGAAAGGCTGGCAGCACAAAACATGCTGAAACCCTTCCTTCATGCTGTAAGTCAGTGTCAGAGGGACGCATCAGGTATCATGTGGCACTTGCATTCAGCATTCATATCAGTAGTCTTGACTAATGTGAAAATGTGACATTCCTAACATCTATTTTTCCCTTCTTGAAATAAGAAGCTGAAAAGAGTGAAGATTCTTCTGGATCAGCTGGGCTGTCAAGCTTGCATCGGACCTACAGCCAGGATTGCAGCTTCAAGAACAGCATGTACCATGTAGGAGATTATGTGTATGTGGAGCCTGCTGAAGCCAACTTGCAACCTCACATAGTCTGTATTGAGCGGCTGTGGGAAGATTCAGCTGGTAAGGATGTCTTTGCTATAGGAAAACAATATGGTTAAACTTCTTATCACTATTTAAAACTTCCAGTTTGAGCTTTTTCTGTGTAGATGTTATTTTATTTGCAGAAGGATGTGTGGACTGGTGAATATTTTGCTTGTTTCCGAGTTGACTTATTACAAAGAATATTACCAAGTTCTTGGATCAACACAGTTTTTTGTTGTTCATCTCTACCTATTCTCAGATCATAGGCGTCCCAGAGAGTAAGTGGGATGGGCTTCTTGTAGTTTAGGCACAGAAGAACACATGGGGTTTTTCTGTGCTGAGAAATCTGATCCAAATTTGGGCATGTTTAACTGGAAATGTTCCACGGAACAGCTCAGTTTCAGAGCTTGCCTTTATTAAATTTCAGAATTGAGTTAAATCTTGCATTTCCTAGACCAAATCAAGCCATGAGAGTACTATTTTGTTTTTTCTCATACCTTCTGTTTTCAGGAGGTACTTCTCTTAAGTATAAGGAAGAGTGGAGATAGGAGTATCAAATAAGCATGGTGCACTCTCAGCAATCTTGGAAAATACAGTTGCTGAGAACTGCAGTGGGGTATAGTGGAGTTAACCATTTTGGTTGTACTTTTTTCTAAAGGCATGGAATGGATATGTTACAAGGACAGATTAAAAAGACTGCGACTCTTCGATTTGGAGAGGAGAAATGTAAGGCAGGATATAATTAAGGTTTGCAGAATCATGAAGTGAGTAGATAAGGTGAATGCAAAACTACTATTCAACAAATCCAGCAGTACTGGAGTTAGAGGGCACTCGCTGACACTAACAAATCAGATTAAGACAAATGAAAGTGTTTGGCTTTTTAATGCAGTGGGTAGTGAGTCTCCAGGAGCTTGTGGATTATAATCAGCAGGTTCAAAAATGTGTGAGACAAGTCCATGTACAACAGATCTAAACAAGATAATAAAGGGAATAACCAACAAATAATAGCCTGATAAAGAGAATAGCTTTCTAACACCCCTAGTGCAATGACTGTAGGAGTGGAATGAGTTATGGAGAGTGACCAAGATCAAATGTGTTCTCCTAATAGGCTGTCCTGCTCACTCAGTTGGATGCAGCGTATTGGGGTAGATGGACCACTGGCCAGTTGGACGTTTCTTATGTTCGATTGTTACGGAGAAAGTAAATAGCACTTTGTAGTCTACGGGTTACAGATTTTCTTATATTTAGAAAAATAGTATATATTTGTAACTTCTGTACAAATCATTGTTAACAATTTGAATTTCTCACAGTGTAATACGGAAGAAAGAGTTCCTAAAAAACCTGAAACCAGTTCCCCAAGGTTCTTCAAATAATCAGGTGATTGTTGTGTGGACTTTGAAGCCATTTCAAGGCCTGAAAGTCAAGATTTATAAATAAGAACGGATTCCTTCTTTATTTTTCTGAGTCAGTTTTTACTGAGAAAAAAAAAAAAATTGGCAGGCTTTTTATGCAACCTGGTTTTCCTTACATGAAACTGTTAAGGAATCTTTTCCTGTTTTAAAACAATTTACTCTCAGGATAAATGACTATATGACTGTTTGGTTAGTCAGTCAATCTACAGCTGTTTTTTCTTGCTCATGCACTAGAGAATATGTCATTTTACATTTTTTGGTCTTTCTTTCTCCCTTCTCTTATTTTAAAGGAGAGAAATGGCTCTATGGCTGTTGGTTTTATCGACCAAATGAAACATTTCATCTTGCAACACGAAAATTCTTGGAGAAAGAAGTTTTTAAAAGTGACTATTACAATAAAGTTCCTGTTAGCAAAATTTTAGGCAAATGTGTGGTCATGTTTGTCAAGGTGAGAGACTGTTCAGACTAATTTGTTAAGCAATTAATATGTTCTCTGCTATTTTCTTGAAGAGTGTAGACATTGTAACATAGAGATGTTCTACTAAAATAAAATAGGACTTGCTCCTGTGTACTGTTTGTATTCTTCATTTGCTTTATGAGATACATAGTTCACCCAAGTGATGGTGTTTCTTGGTGCTGGTTGGTTTGTAGAATCCTATGCTTATTTGATAATTAATTAACTGATTTTTCAGAGCATGTAGTAGAGAAATTGCAGGTAAATTCTTAAAGGTCCCATAAAAGCATGTAGATGTAGGTTTGGTAGAGAGGGAGGCTTGAATGGCTTGGTAAAAGGATGAAGTCTTTTAGCTCTGTCTGAGGTTTGATTCCACATCATCCTTGTGCTGAGGATTTTTGGCTTGTTTGCAATGTACCTATCTCAGCCAGTTTTTGGAAGGCGGTGTGTTTCTATGGAACAAAGTTCTACAGCTGCTAAGTATGTGAACGGGTATCACAGTCACGTATCAATGAGCATGGAGCTTACTCACCTCTGCCTCACACCAAACTTGGTGATCATGTCCTCTTTCCAAGTCAAAGCTCAGAAATCTTGTAAACTTGGGTTTAGGCTGCAGATCTTGTTAATACACTGTTTTGGTAAACAAAAACCCCTAACTTTTCTCACATGATAACCTGTACTGGATTCAGCTTCTTCTCTAAGGGTGGGATTTCTGCTTGTTTGCTTTTAATTTTAAATATAACTTGGTTGCCAAACTGGAGGAAAAGAACTCAGCAGAAAGGCTTTATTAGTTTAAAACTGTTTCTGATAGAAACATAGAAGAAAACCAGGAAGCATGAGAGGGAGTTCACTGTGTGTCTGTGGGGTATGTGTATGTTGCTGAAATACTTTATATTTTTTCTTCAATCTGCAGGAATATTTTAAATTGTGTCCTGAGAGCTTCAGAGATGAGGATGTCTATGTCTGCGAGTCACGTTATTCTGCAAAGACAAAATCTTTTAAAAAAATTAAACTGTGGACTATGCCTGTCAGCTCTGTAAGATTTGTCCCACGAGATGTGCCCCTGCCTGTAGTCCGTGTTGCTTCTGTGTTTGCTAATACAGACAAAGTAGATGAGGAGAAACACGCTGAAACATTGGAGGACAGTAAGGTGGGAGAAAGTATCCTTCATCTTGAAAAGGTATGTGAGATGGCAAATGGAACATCAGTTATGCTTGACAGATAAAGAATTACAAAATATGAGTCCTCATGATATCTGTTTCACAACATCTAGACAATAAAATCTAAATAAATATGTTTCTGTTGTAAATTGTTATACACATTTGTAAATAAATACAAACAAAGTATAAATAGTCTAACCAGAAAATAAACTGTGTACATATTTGCTAGATTCTACAAATGCTTTCTTGTGATCATGTGAAGAGGTGGTGTGAGTTTTTTTACCACTTGGGAAAAGAAAATTACATTTTTACTCTAAAGCTTGTCATAAGCCTAAAGAATCAGTAGAACTAAAAGTCTAATTTTAGTTCATGATAATGTTGAAGTGCTCTGTTATGTAGTATTTCAGTAAAATATATCAGTAGCTATGCAGCAGTCAGCAATATGTAATATTCTGTTGTTTGTGACCTATTTATGGTTGGTAACTGAGTGGTTTATTGTCAGAATGCTTAAGAATATTTATGCCCAACATACTAAGTAAAATGCTTTATTTTATTGTATTTAGAGTCATAAAAGAAATAAATGTATGAAATTCAATTAAATTGAATTAAATTTTTCTAAAATCAGAGCCATAAAAAAGAAATATAGAGTCATAAAATAAATCCACTTTTCACTGAGTTCTCTAACAGAACCTCAGAACAGAATACCCAACATATTCATTGTCAACATTAATCAGACGCTTAGTATATATTATTGTATTTATTCACATCATGATAAAAGAAGCAATTATTTCTACTGAGAGAATGAAGACTTGTAGCGTCTTTTCCTTCCATATCCTGGGGAAATAGCCTGTGTTTTCATTGGCTTTCTGAAATCCTAGACTAAAAAGTCAAATGAGGCACTCTGTGAGCTTTGCCTAAAAAGTAAGGAATTAAATATGGCAAATGGTATGAATTTGCAATCAGTACATGGCGTGTTCATATTATTGTATATGAGAGTTGAGGCATTACATTTCTAAGTATGTTAACTTGGCCGTATGCTCAATTCTTGCCTCTTAAGCATGTTATTGTGCTTTAAAACAAACCATCAAAATAAGCTGACAAGGCTTGGCTTGGCCTGTTAACTTAGAAGCAGTAGAACAAAAAAGGGACCTGTAAAATACTGTTCTGGCACAATTACAGCTTTGTGAAATAGGAAAGCTTGCGACATACATGGAGGGTATCTTTGGCTTTGCTATTTCATTTTCAGTTTTCAAGGCCCCTCACTTTTGCATGTGCAGCCCTATTCAGTGTTTAGCTATTACTGGTAATGTAAAGATGGAGCCAAGTCTTTTATTTGCACCTGGCATCTTTTTATTTGTGTGCTTGGTTTTCCTTCTTCCACAAGTTTCTAAATGCATATTCTCCTGCAGGACAAAGAAGATGTTCCAGTAGAAATGTCCAATGGAGAACCTGGTTGCCATTACTTTGAACAGCTTTGCTACAATGATATGTGGCTTAAGGTTGGGGACTGTGTCTTCATAAAATCACATGGGTTAGTGCGACCTCGAGTAGGAAGGTAGGTGCAACTTTATTTGCAGTTTGTATCTATAAAATTAATTCTGACAAAAGACGGACTTGTTGCAAAAAGTATCAAAGAGAATGGTAAAAAAATCTTCTGAATGAAACTAAAGGTTACAAGCTCTTAGATTGAGGTGGAAGTTTAGCTGCCTAAAAAAAGGTGATACAGTTATACAGTTGGAATAGGCTGTTCTTCTGTACTCGTTTTTTACAGTCTCCCTGAACAACCTAGTGCATCCAGCCGTCTCATTTAGGAGGCATGGCCTTTCTTTGATGTCAGTGGTTTGGTTTTATTTCCAGAATTGAAAAGATGTGGGTGCGAGATGGAGCTGCGTATTTTTTTGGTCCAATCTTTATACATCCTGAAGAAACTGAACATGAACCAACTAAAATGTTCTACAAGAAGGAAGTGTTTTTGAGTAACTTGGAGGAGACCTGTCCAATGACTTGCATTTTGGGTAATTATTAACAACTTTAAATTCAATGGACTCTTTCTTTTCCTATACAGTCTGAAGTGATTTATAACTATGTGTAGGCTTGATTCCAAGTATGTTTTTTTCATATTGCATGCAGGAGGAGAGATTATTCAGTCCATTTCTAATATGCATTTCTGTCTTTGGGACCTGTAGTGAGAATTTTCCCTATAAGGAAGCTTTCTTACAGTAAGGGAATTACATGTGAACGTTGTCTGCAGCCAGAGAACAGAAAATTCCATTATTCTCACTTATTAATGTAATTATTCCAGTATATGTTATCTAGAAAGTCAGTCCAGATGGTGGTTGAAATTTGATTTGTTGCATAAGATGATGACTGTGTACTTTGTTTTGTAGTTACGATGCTGTGCCATATATAGTTAACTGACTAGTGATCATGGGGTTTTGTTATTTTGCAGGTTTTCTTGTTCTTTAAAAAAATCCAAAAACTGCGTTGTTTGTGTAGGTTTCTCCTCAGTGGCATTATTTAAGAGAGATATCAATTGTACTTTCCTTGGTTGCATCAAATACCAGGAATCCTTCAGACTTAAAAGATGGCAAAAACTTGAGTTTCCATGCTCTTTGTAAAATATCTGCATGTGTGGCTGCCTTCTTACTCAGCTCTTTCATTTCTGCAGGAAAGTGTGTGGTTCTGTCATTCAAAGACTTCCTCTCCTGCAGACCAACAGAAATCTCTGAAAATGATGTTTTCCTTTGTGAGAGCCGTTACAATGAAAGTGACAAACAAATGAAGAAATTTAAGGGGCTGAAGAGGTTTTCACTCTCTGCAAAAGTTGTAGATGATGAAATATACTATTTTAGGTAAAAATGTGTTGGGAATGAGGGGGTTCTCTGAGCACTCCTCTGTATTGTGGTGCACTGACTGGTTGGCAGCTAACCCCCCACCCAGCCACTTGCTCTCTTACCTGCAGCGGGATGGAGGAGCCAGTCAGAAAGGCAAAAGGAACAACAACTGGGTCAAGATAAAGACAGTTTAATACGTGAAGCAAAGCTGCGTATGCAAACAAAGTGAAATAAGGAATTAATTCACTACTTTCCATTGACAAGCAGATGTTTAGCCATTTCTTGGAAAGCAGGGCCTCAGCATGCATAATGGTTACTTTGAAAGAAAAACGTTCGGTCCCCCTTCCTCCTCCTTTCCTCCAGCTTCTCTTGTTGGGCACAATGTTGTATGGCTTAGCTGTCCTTGTTGTCTCCCTTCCCAACTTATTGCCCAACCCCAGCCTGCCTGCTGTGGGGCAGAGAGGGAAAAAGAAAAAGCCATGATGATGTGCCAACACTGCATGGATATGTTATCAACACTGTTGTGGTCACAAATCCAAAGCACAGCACCATCTGCTATGCAGAAAATGAACTCCATCCCAGCCACATCCAGTACATACTTAAAAGACATAGTTGTATCAGAACATGAATTTTGACTAATTACACTTTTGGGAGGAAGTCCAGATAACATGAGTCTTTCCACAGTCTTAATACCAGTGGATGTTTTCTTTTTCTTCTACTTGAGAAAAAGTTGTTACACTATGAGATTGGTAAATTCTCTTGGATATTGTTAAAATACCTAAATCCTCATTATGAATAACAAATAGCTTTCCAGTTGGTGAACATTGATATTAGTGAAAATACTAAGTTCTAAATTAAGTAAAATGTAAAATATAAGGAAGATGTGCTGTTAACTGCCTTCTATTGCAGAAATGAAGTATTTGCTGCATTGAAATCCCCTTTTAACTCATTATCTTCAGACAGGTGACTGAAATTAAACACTGGCCATAAACATTGAATGATTTCTGCTCAGTGTTGTGAAAGGAAGCACAGGCACATCCTGAGTAACCATTATTTCCATGTCATTCAGTGATAAAGGAAGAAAAGTTGGTTTTCTCTTAAAAAATATGTGCCATCTCCTGTGAAGTATGAGTGCGTTCTCATCTGCTTTTTGTCTTCCTCCTCCACCTTTCAGAAAACCCATAGTTCCTCAGAAGGAACCATCTCCACTACTGGAAAAGAAGATTCAGCAGCTGGAAGCAAAATTTGCTGAGTTGGAAGGAGGTGATGAGGACATGGAAGAGATGGGAGAAGAGGAAGGCGATATGACTGAAACACCATCTATGCCTCAGCTTCAGACCCCGTTAGCTAGTGAATTGGATATAATGCCTTATACTCCACCACAGGTAACGGTCTTCCTTGAGAAACCTTTAAATTTTACATTCTGCATTTTTTCCCCAACCCAAATAAATAAAAGAAACCGTAATATTTTATCATATACACAGAGGAGTTTTACAGTTCAGTTTATGAATCTGTGGAATAAATTACACGGAACCGTTGTGGCATAACTAATATGATGCCTAGGTGATATATAAGTCCATGAAAATATTTTTGAAGGGAATTATTCCATTCAGGAAAATCTGGGGTACATTTTTGTATGATATATTAATGTTATTTTTAATTTGTAGGATTTCAGTGACACTTGTTCAGAAGTATCAGGTCCTTATATTAAATATAAGGTTGGGATGTAAGGGTCTAATTGTAATTCTCAATTTATCTAATGCCCATTTCTAAGCTTTTGCTTAAATTTTGAAAAAAAAAAAAAGCATTTTGGGTGTTACAATTTAGCTACATTTTTAGAAAAGGCTGAGCATCATCCTCAAACAAAAAAAAAATGTTTTTAGTATTGAGTTACCATTCTTACTTGGAAATAAGAACTTGTTTAAAAAGTTAGAAGAACTGGATGTCCTAGAACCTTTAGTATTAATTTGCTGATAAATGGGTAGGAAGTAAAAGAGGAATCATGTGTGGTTATATGCTGCTTGAATGCAGAATGAGTCGTTGCTGCTGCTTAAATGGGGGACTTTTGAACCCCTTTCCTCTCTTGCTGTGTTTCTTACATAAGCCCTGGTATTTTATGTAGCTGAGTATTGAAGCAGGGTGAGGAACTGCTTTAACTGGACGTTAACCTAAGCAAAAAAGCTTGTTTGCAACTGGATTAAACCCTTTTATCTGTCTTATCACATTGCCACATCTAAGCTAATGCTGGCATTAAAGAGGCAATGGGAGTGACCAGATGGGAACAGGAGAGAGTTTCAGACACTTTTGTAACCAGCAATATGGATTTCTGCCACATTACATTGACTGTGAAGTGACAATCTTATTGGCAGTTGAAGAAAGGATGTGACCGCTGGATAGAAATAACTGCCTTGGGATGTCATGAAAAATTGAAAGCTTTATCTTGGTTGATTGTGATTTTTGCCATGCAGGCAGACCACCAAAAGGACTTTCCTGTGCAAGGTTGTCTCACTGCTCTTGTTTTAATGTGCTGAATTTCATAAGTAGTGTGAGAACTCTCGCAGAGTATTACAAATACAAAGCATGTTTCCAGCATTAACCAACTAATCTAACACTTTAGGAAGGGGAAAGTAACTTTTTTATAAATCAAAATATTCCCATTGTTAAGCATGGATGTGCCTAAAGCATTTTAAATAAGGATCATTGGACATTAAAGATGCCCTTAAACTGCCTTCTGCAGCATTCACTGTCTTGATCTCCTTTGCTTTCTGTCTTTATATATAGCTGTGTTTTGCTCAGATTCCCTTGAGAAGTTTTATTTAAATACTAATATATAATATCTCTTTAAAAATCCAGATTGATACTTGGCATTATTTTATTTTTTTAAACTGTTCGTAATGGGGCAGTCTTGCAGAGCTTTCAGGATAACTGGTGAGACGTTGGGCTCAATTGATATATCCAACATACTTGTGTATATATACCGTTAGACAGATATGAACTCTAAAGTCTAGAACTTGAAGTAAAATTTTAAAAAACACAACAAAAAAACCCAAGCAAATAAGGAAAACTGAAAAGGATCAGTAGCGATGCATACTAAGAAGTGAAGGATGATACATAAGTGCCCTGGCAGGTTACTCACGCTGCTGGGTTGGAAAGAAAAGGCATGCTTGTGTTTGAGCTAGCATTCAGAGCATAATTTAACTCCAGTGGAAAGACAACTACATAAGCACAGAAACAAACTTTCTTCTTCAGATAATATGTTCTATCTATGTCCCAAGTGAAAAGTGTCTTTTTGAACAGAGCTCCTAGATCAAAGGCATGTATTTGCTTCATGTTCTCTTAAACATACAGAATTTTAACAACTATTAAACCCCAGAACTTCTAAATGTTTTTTTTTTCTCCTGATAACAAAGAAGCTCTTACTACATCTAAGGATAAAAGGAGTCAAGACAAATGAATATGTGGTACTGTGGGGCTTGACAAATAGGTGGATGATGCTGTCCTGCAGTTTGCTGTGAATCAAGTCAAACCTAAAGAAGAAAAAGATGAGCAGCTTCATGTTTTGCTTTAGCAGTCAGTATGTCTGAGAAAAGGCATACAAGGGAGTCCTGGTTTATTTCTTCTCTTAACACATCTAAAACTAAATATGCAGTTATCTGACTAAAATGGAAAAGATTCTGTTCATTTTAAAATGGTTGTATTGGGGATGTAAAAAAAATGGAGAATACAAGAACCTAATTCAGAATTCTTACAGTTTCTCAAAGTCCTGTTTGCCCTTCCAGACTGATGGGTAGGCTTTTATGTTAGATTACTGTTATCAAAACTGTTGCAAGCACTGTGAAGGCAAAAACAGATTATAAACTTGTAGCTATCTAAGTGCAGATGTATAAAAGGCCAAATACATCATTAGATTTTCCTGTTTCTGAACTGAGAATTCTCCATCTGCGGACGTGGGCTTGCCTGAGAAGCCAGGATGAATTGTACATACCTTGTGGTCATCCCAGAAATTGCATGGAGTTTTCTTCACTCCCTCCATCTTACAGACAAACCTAGAAGACTACCTCCCAAAAAGAGAAGTGTTGTCTTCAGGTTCATAATGAAATCATTAAGGGTGGATTGCCATTTGAAAATTAATACAGTGAAGTTTGGAATAACATGCAAGTATGCTTCAGTTTATCCACTGCCCGGCTTAAATAGATGAACAACACTTTTTAAGCATCTTGGTATTGCTGAAGCTTTGTTTTTACCTGAGAGAATGTTGAACTGTGGGGTCAAAGTGTCAAGTAGAAGGAGTTAGGAACACGGTCAAAATTTCGGGATAGGAAGAAAACAGTGGCATATGTTTTTCTTTCATTTTTTCCCCAACAGGTATTTGGAATCAATCACACTTTTCAAGATGTAAGAAATTTGTAATGTTTGGGATATGAAAAAGGCCTTTTGAGGGTTTAGGTATGATAATACATTTGTGGTCCTTATTGATCAGAGTATAGGTGTATTATGATCTTCTGTGACAAATATAGATGTAAGGAACCTTAAAAAGGGGGCTTCCAGCTGTGGTATCTCAGTGATTGTCAGAATAGGTTAAACTTTTTGATGTGTGGAAACATCAAGGAGCTCTCAACAGGAGCATCCATGGTAGGAAAAGCAAAGGAGCAGAGTTTTTGTTACTCATCAGCATAAGAATGTGATGTGAACCTGTTGTGCAGGTAAGCAGTGATAGCAAAACTGGGCTTTGTTTCTTTCAGGGAGAAATGGCTATTTATGTTATGAAAGGTTAACACTGGAGAGAAAGAAAAGTATGGCAGGCAAAATAGACAGCATTTAGGGATGAGAAGAATGGAAGATGGAGCCAGGGAGGGTAGGGGTTACAAAGACCGAGGAGAAAAAGGGGAAGCATTTTCCTAAAAGGTGCAATGACAAACAAAAAGTTGTACTCAACTTGTGTTGGCAATATTTCTGAACAGCATAATGGATGAAATCTGTGACATAACACATTTATTCTCTTCTGGCCTTCCAAATACTCACTTACTTGCTACTCAGTCTTTGTCCTCTCGTTCTGTTTGGAGTGATTTTTAGCTAATAGTAAGCATTCCGTGTTATCTTACTAAGAATTTTTTGGAGACTCAGTTGTAAAGGTGGCATTATGTGTACAAAGGTTGAAAAGCATCAGAACGTTGTGATGGTTTTTTCCTTCTCCTGTGTGCTTTTCATAACTGTCTGTGTATGCTCCTGTCATGCATCAATAGATGCAATCTCTCTTTAGGGGCTGTAAGGTTGGATGTGCAAATGTATTCAAGAGAAATGCGGAAATATTTTAAAATACTGTTTCTTACAGATTTGAATCTTGTATGTCGAGAAGCTTCTCTTTTGTACACTTGTGGTCATAACTACTTTTTCTCACAGTCCACTCCCAAGTCTGTTAAGGGCAGCACCAAGAAGGAGGGATCAAAAAGGAAGATCAACATGAGTGGGTACATCTTATTTAGCAGCGAGATGAGAGCTGTGATTAAAGCTCAGCACCCAGACTACTCCTTTGGAGAGCTCAGCAGGCTTGTAGGAACTGAATGGAGAAACTTGGAAGCAACAAAGAAAGCAGAATATGAAGGTAAATAAAAACTAAGATGCTAAACTCTTTTCTGCTTTTTTATCTTTCTCAGTGTGTTCATTAGTGTTACTCAGATGACGGGTTTAATAAAAGAAGATAGTTTTGCTTGTGTTCTGGATGTACTTTAAAGAGAAGTTCATATTGAGAAATGAGTGAAGAGGAACAGAGAGTACGTTTAAGTTATGTAGTGCACAACTGATAATTTAAATGTCTTTGCCACAAATAATGAAATAAACAAAGACCAAGAAAATGGGGACAAATTAGAAGTAAAGGGGCATGAAGCCCCTGTGCTGGAAGTCAGTTGGAAGAATGGTTTGTGAAAGTTTCCTTAATGGAGCACTGAGGGTTATTTTGGACAAGAAGCTCTTCAGAGCTGTAGCAGCAGGTAAGAAGGCTTCCAGCGGAGCGGGGAAAAGTTCTTTGATTAACAGTATTTAGAGTCCTAAAAAGCTTTGGTAGAATAAAATCAAGGATACAGAATCTGTTATGATACTGTAAACTGACCTTTTGGTTCAATTTCAGTATTAATCAACTGTTGTAACTGATTTTGTTGAGAGATTTCATATCCTGAAGTAAGCCTAGGAATATTTCATAGGCATGAGATACTTTAGACCTTTCTTCCTTTCTTTCTTTCCTTCTTTCTTTCTCTCTCCTCCCTACCCTCCCCCCTCCTCCCCCCCCTCTTTTCTCTCTTTCTATCTCTCTCTTTCCCTCTCCACTTTCCTCCTGGTGAACGTGTTTCAACTTTATTTGGTTAAATAAAACACAATTGATCCTTAACAGTGGGCCCGTACTGAAACCAAATACATTGGCTTAACATCCATAGTTACTATTCTACTTAATGATGTGTCAACACTTCCAATATAAAAGTCCATTTTTTAAGCAACTGTTGAATTTTATTGGAATAAAATGCTGCTTTGGATAGGAAAGTTTCAACACCCTGTAAAGTTATTGCCCAATTAAGTTATAACTTTGCTTTTGTAAAAATGAGATTTAATAGGCTTTCTGCATACTCAAAAGCAGCTTTGATCTTCCAACTAGAAGTTTGCATGCTATCACTTTCCCCTCTCAGCTGCCTCAGTCCTTTCTGAATTTGCAGTAGTACCTCTTTGCAGTACTGGAGAGTAATACAGCACCACTCAGCTATGTGCAGGTTTTCTTTGCAGATGCTGTAAAGGGAAATGGTAATGCTCTTTGTGAAAGTATTATGGCCTTACTTTTTTCCTGTTGTAGTTTCCTTTTACACCCTACTAGATGCATGTGGTATCTTTTTATTGACAGATCCCTCCTCACAGTCTAATTCTTAAGCAGTAGGATGTCATCGCTTCCTAGCTTAGAGCAGCTTGATGTCTTGCAGTTCTGCAGGAAAACATAGATGTAATGTGATTGTAGCGACAGTATCTGTCCACTGTGTTAATGATTGCCTATATGCTTCCATTGTAATCCTCTCAATTAAAATTTGACAAAGCTTTTGGGTTTTGGGCTGCAGTTTCTCTGGCTTGGTGTCTGCCCAGAACTACACTTAAATTTATTTGGTTTTGAGCGGTTGGGATGGGGTTACAAAGCGTCCAAACTGTGTTTGCTTGCGACCTGTGAAAGGAGAGAAACTCCTTCCACTGTGACAAGTCAAAAATCACGTGCACTCTAGTGTGGATATGCACCAGGAAGCAGGGAACGGGCATGGTTTGACATGTCATTGAAGAAATGCTTTTCCATGTTCTGGTGAAAAGTAGTTTGCATTTTAGATCCATTTTGACCCACTGAAAATTTCATTTGGTATATGTGCAGAGTAATAGTTGTTTTTTTAGCAAGATTTGAGCAAAGAACAGGTTGCATTGGAGATGCCTGCAAGGCAAACTGCACTGTGAAAACTCCTCAAAATAAAATAAAATAATGCATGATTGAAATAAAGGCCTGTTTTAACGAAAAGCTCCGTTCAAGGTGGAAAGTCTCTTTCCTGTCTCTTGAGATGTGTTAGAAATGTTTGAATGATCTCAAGTGCTGGCCTAAACAATTTGGGTTTAGTATTGAGTATTATGGTGAATGCTCAAGGCTGAACTTTTAGACACCTGCTACAGTTCCCTTCTGGCAGTGTTGTATCATCTGTTAGTTCCATGGCAGTCATGGCTTTGATAGAGGCTAGGTAAAACTCAAGTACTGTCCTACATCAGGTCCTTCTTCAAAGCTCAGCACTCTGAGGTCTGATAAAACTGACACTTAATAGTAATTTCTCATTCATCAGAGTGTCTCCAGAACTTTCGCTTTTGTCTGACCATTTTTTTAGCTGACCAAAAGTAGGTGAGAGTCAGAACAGCTGCTTCATCTTTTCCCCAAATGCTTGCTCTGCTCTGAAGAGGATTTTTCTACTTCAGGATCTACCTTTAAATGTCTTGTATATTTTGTGCTCAATCATGTATAAGTTGCCTGTAGTAAATTTAGGAGTTTCTGTGCGTCGTCATCTCTTCCTGAAATGACAGAAGTGAAAAGAAGGAAGGAAATTACTTTGGAAATTAAACTGGTCTTTCAGTGCATGGAGGTAGCGCTAGAAGCTGCACAAACAGATTCTACAGGAGACAAACGCGTGATAGATGTTCGAAGTCATATGCTAGAGAAAATGAATAACATTGGCAGGATGTATAACTTAATCTCCTTGATGAACTTCTTCTTAGCCTTTGTTTGACAGAGGACCTTGGTTGCCGTTTTAGTGGCAGTTTTCATCTTTCACCAACTGCAAGAGAACTTCTAGCCCTGCGTTCATTGTTATTAAAATTTGCTGGAGATGTATGCTGCATTCATTTATTCTTTGTTGTTCTGCATCGCGTCAGTCAGATACAGCGTTCAGAGTAAACAAATCAGCAACTTGCATGCCCCCAAAGCACCTTGAGTGGGCATTCAGTATATCCTTTTTTGTTTGCTTGGGTTTTGTTTTTTTTCTTTCTTCTTCCCATGACCTTTTGCCCTTCCCTTAATATAAAATTATCCTCTGGTCAGATCCCCCTGCAGTAGATCTTTTGTTCTTGCAGTCACAGTGAGAAACTTGATTGAGATAATGACCACATTCATCGTACAAAGGACACACATGGCCTCCAGTGAGCAGCACAATGTGAGTTAGAAAAAAAAAAAAAAAAAAAAAAAAAAAAAAGAAGGAAAAAAAAATTAGTAGCTCAAAGGGGACCAAATGGGGAAAATGACAGAAAGAGGCAGAGAAAAATATTTTTGGTTCATCAAACTGCTGCTTGTTATGTTCCAAACACTAAGGACCTATCTACACTAGGGAAACTTTGCAAATGCTTCCCAACTTTGCCACCATTTTTCAGCTACCTCAGCAGTAAAATATATGGGGAGCCCAAGAACAAGCAGGCCGCTGGCTGGCACTACTATCTGCTATTTGCATCTTATTTTAGGGCATGTCTGATAGACATGGTGCTTAAAATTCCTGCAGCAGCTGGTAGCGGATCTGAGAGCTGCTGGCCTTGGCTGCAGCTGGTTTAGCTGGGCCAGTGGTGTCAAAGGAGGGAACGTTTTGCCATGTTTTCCTAGTGCGGACTGAGCCTAGTGCTGGACTGCTGCTTCATGTTGGTAACACTGGTGTTATTATCAAATTTGTTCTTTGATTTTTAAATTTTTATTTCCTGATTTATTTATTTATTTTTTAGAAAGAGATAAAACTTTGTGGAATATTTTTCATGAAAGGTTCTCTAAAAGTCTTAGCTGCAGCCACATGAAATCAAATCATATGCTGTATAAAAAGATTCATCTGTTCTACTTTATATTTGACTAAACTATGCCAGTGTTTGACTAGTCCTTTTTAATGAACAGATAATATTTTGAAATTCTGGGTTACAAAACAGAACTGAAAATCTAAAATACTTTTACAGAGCGGGCAGCTAAAGTTGCTGAGCAGCAGGAGAGAGAGCGAGCAGCACAGCAGCAGAATTCCTCCCCCCGGGCAGGCACTCCTGTCGGGGCTCTTATGGGGGTGGTGCCGCCACCAACACCAATGGGAATGCTCAATCAGCAGTTGACACCCGTTGCAGGTAAAACGTAGGAGCTATGACCATTTTTTCCTCATCCACTATATCAACCCCCTTCATAACTCTGAACACTCTCTTGGGTCACTTTGTTCTTACAGAAGAAAAAGCTCAACCTCTTCAGTCTTTCTTCATAATGAATATACATAACCGCAGTGGTAGCCTGGTAGTCCCACATTACTTGCTTCAGTAGTGAGTAGCGTGTTGAAAATGTAGGGAAAAGGGGTCCTCCTTGTGCGGTAGTCCCGTTCTGCTTGTGTGCAGTCGTGTTTATTCATTCTATTTTGCAGAGTTCATGTTTAGCCCTGCTATGGCAGGAGGGGAGTGAGCTAAATAGTCTTCTAGTGCATGCAGCATCAGTGGAAGTGGTGAAGTAGGAGGCAAATTATTACTTTTTTTAATTGTCAGGAGGGTGAGAGGCAAACAGAATCCAAACCAGATTTTAAATCCAAGCAAAAGCTTTTACAGAATTGCCAATTAGACACCAGTAGCTAGAGCAGGTTAGGATCTAGAGCCATTGCAGAAACAAATACGAAATGCCAACATTGCTGGTTTATGAGGTGATTTTTCAGAAAAGAACTGAGCTTGGAGAACTCTTCCACGAGGTCCCTGTTGCTGGGTGTTGTGCTCGTTAGCACTTGAGTTCACTGGGGATATGTTCGGATTAAGTATTTTCAGGATCAGGTCTGAAGACAGTGTAGTCCACTGGAGATTCTTCTATGGGAATCAGCCATACATCAGTGAGAAAGTGAATTGGTTATTACCTGATAGGCTGTTTTCCTTCTCCCCTTTCTAATTAAAATAATTAGATTACTTCAGTCAAGATCAAAATAGCGCCAAGTAGGTAAAAATGAGTATTTGGAGAGGGGTTGTTTTGGGTTGTTTTTTTTTAACTTTCCCTTAGGCATTCCAATTATTCCATTTTTTTTTTGGTCATTTTTCTTTTTGTTTCCTGTCTCATAGGCTGTGGCCATATTTAGAGCTGACAGGCTGAAGTGTTTTTCATCACAGTCTCTAAATCCCTTTTCAGTCAATAGGCTGCATGGATGTTTAAACTGAAGGCACATTCCTTATTTGGTTCATGGTCTCCAGATTACAAAGCATTTGTTTATACTGAGTTACATTTTTATTTTGTTTTTTTTTCACTTTGTTCTTGATAATTTTCCTCTGAACTGTTTGCAGTTGGTGTGTGTTTGTGTGGGTGTGTACACATCTGTACTTATATTAAGAAAAAGAAAAAAGGAGTTCCTTAGTGCTGATCTCTTTTGTGAGTAACCTATTTCAATCTAGAATATGTAGAAATATCATCCTCTTGTGGTTATGGTTTCTTGGTTTGGTTCTTGGGTTTTTGGCATTGAGTCACTTGTCCAGTTTTTTGGAGGTAGGTGTCAATGGGCAGTAATACTTATTATTAAAACTTCCTTAAAACTTTTCCAAAAACATGCATACTGCAAACTACACATGATAACTTCCTGTGGCAGCCTCTTCAAAAGCAAACCTGTATTTAAGACCGTCATCTTATTCAAGCAGTTAGACATTCAAGCCTCTTCTCTTTGGCATGCTGAAATACTTCCTTAAAGTAGATGATCAAGTGGATCTTTTTAAACTCCTTTTAATTTTTTTGGCTCATTTGAAAAATACCGTCTTTCATCTCTTGGTTTCCACAAATCTAACTTAGAAGTATCTTATGCTGTTGAGACCTCTTTCACATCCTTCTCCATCATTTGATTGGTTTTCTCTAGTTCAGATAACTTCTCCATCTCAAAAGTTCGTAGAACTTCTTCATAGCTCATGGGTCCAAGAAATCTGGATGCCTTCTGATATGCATTTCTCTTAGTGCTTAGCGCTCTAGTTTCTTGTAAATTTAGGCATTACAAAAGTTTATTTAATCTTACGTTGTTATAGTAAAAAATGGCAGAACAAGTAATTTGAAAGACATCATAAATCACAGCTGTGGGAGCTGGAAATATTTTGCCTATGTTTACTAGTTTAAAATCAAAGTGGTAACTCATACATGGGGTATGAAAAGTGTCTGCTTTTACAACCTTGTGATGAGCTACACAAACTGGTTTCTCACAGAGATTTGATGACAACTTTATTAATGCAGCCAGTTGTTCAGTGAGTATTTTAGTTTGAAATGTAGAAATGTGCTTTGATGATTGATAAATATGGGTTTGTTTCATTGGAGGTGTTTTGTTTTGTTTGTCTTAAAGCTTCAGATGTGTATGTGAATGCATTGAAGATCTGATTGCGGCTTGGGATGCACTGGAAGTACCAGGAAGTAGCTACAGAAAAAGCTCTTTATTCTAGGGATGCTTTTGCTGTTTTTCTTCTTTTACTTTTTCCATTAGAAATATTGATTTCAGTTATGTTAAAGAGGTACAGATGAGCTTCCTGGTATTTGAAATAGGTACTGAAGACCTGTTTAATAAGTATCAATCTAGATGTCCTGTGGAAAGTGAAGGTTTGAGAGAGAGATACCAGGTTTTTTGTTTTCTTGTTTCCTCCAAGCAAGCTTTTGGAATTTTAGGTTTCTCAGCTTTGTAACTCTTCCTGAGGAAGTGACAAATTCAGCTTGGATATTGAAGCTGCTTGATCTGTTTCAGTTCTGAGCTTGTGACAGCTTTGTTTTCAGTCAAAGCGGGGGTGAGTTTTTGGCCAGTCTTATTCCAGAAATCCCTTTTCTGAAAGTTTCTTTTATGAGTTACCGGAAGCGTGGCAAAGACTCAGTAGGTGCTTTCTTGGAACAGACTATAGAAGCCCCAGCGGTTTTGCATTTCTGAACTTACCTCATCTCTCTAGACCTGCTTCTGTCCTCTGTCATCTTTTCATTGTCTTTCCAACCCCTTTCTTTGGTTACCTGGCAATGCATCCATTTAAATTAAAACGCCTAGAAAACAGGCAAGGGACAAGCAAGTTACATTACAGGACCTAATAAACATAGTGCAGTTAAATATTGTGTAGGTTCACTCATGGATAGCAGCAAACCTGAGCCAAAATCAGAATAAGCCCTAAATAGTCTTCCCTCACATGCAGGCAACTAAATTTATGAGTAGTAGCACAATACTGTCTTCGTTGTATCATTGGTTTTCCTATAAAGACACCTAGAAGACACTGACAGTGAAATTCTGTGAGGGGCTGCAGGTGGTCCTTGTAAGTCCTTTTACTTTAATCTAGTGCTGTGAGTGTAAGTTACTGCAGCCCAGCACATCCAGTGCTATCAGGTTTAAAATTTTAGTTACTTCCTTAGTTCATACTGGAGATGGTTTAATAAAAATCACCTGTCACTGCCATTAGGTTTAAGTATGTGAATGTTGTAGGGCTTTTGTATTTTGCATATGCACTGCAGAAAAATATATAGGTTTTTATTTTTGTTCCGGTTGGGTTTGGTCTCTGAGCTAGCCCACATAGCAGGGCTGTACATGAAGCTTGTATACTTAGTGTTGCTCAGTGTAAGCTGAATGCAGATGGCAGAGCTTTAAGCTGTATTAAAATTGCTTGCGTTAGTAACATTTAATTGTGGCTGAATTTATTCCTTGTGTTAACATATCTGAATATTCAGCATTTATTGCCCCATGAGGAACATACAAATACACTAAATACTAATTCATCAGAAGTATAGTGTTTCATATTTATAACTTTATTTTTAATTTTTGTTCATTTTTGCAAGATACTAATTGTAGGTACCTAGTATTGTCTTGCTGTACTAAAGGTGCTTTTTTTTTTTTTTTTATGGATAGTGCATGTCTTACTGTGTAGATCATATTGCATGTTATTGATGCATGTTTGAAATTTGTTGTGTCCTTCAAGGCATGATAAGTGGCTATCCACCGGTGCTGCCACCTTTGCAGGGCCCAGTTGATGGCATTGTTAGCATGGGCAGCATGCAGCCACTTCACCCAGGGGTGCCCCCACCCCACCAACTTCCGCCAGGTATGCCAGGCATCCCAGGCATCCCACCACCCGGTAAGAATGTCATCCTCATTCGATCAGTATTTCATTTTCATGTACTTGCCATTTAACCAGTTGTTACAGAAATTATCTGCAGCTTGTTTTCATCATAGCTTTTGTTTCTGAACATTGCAGGTTTGTTTAGCTGCAGCGCACACAATGCACTGCTGAACATATGAGGAATATGCAAATTGTTGACAGAATGGCATGTCCAGTAAACTGACAGGGAAAGGTTACTGGAGAACGTGATGCTGCTCCAGCAGTAGTTTTGCTCCAGCCAAAAAACTTTACAATTGTGCTTGATTTTATAAGAGGTCTGAAAAGCTGAAACCAGTCTATTCATATCTTTATGTCATTTGAACATCATCCTTCCACTCCTCCTTTTCTCATTTAAAGTTGGATTTTAAATGATATTTATTGCTCTCATTCCTTACTGAACTCTTTTTCAGTATGTTAATGTTTATCAGTAGTCAGACTGCACTTAAATGAACTTGGTCATTTAAGACCCCTTGGCCACTAGAGCACTGATGTGTTATTATAAAACAGTATTCAGATTAAACCTTGTTGACAGAACAGTAACTGGAAACATTTGGGGATAAGGTAAACTTAATAAATAAGGCATACTATTGTGGCCAAACTTTGAATTGATTTTTGAGAGCATATCTACTACATGTTTGCCACTTTTTTGCCACACTTTTCATGAAAAGTGAGGCTGAATAAAACATAAACATTTTTCCAGTGTTAATGCCATTAACATGTCCCCATTATGGGGAAAAATGTTGATCTGCCCTCTGATCCTGTTTTCTGCTGATTCTTTCAGTTCTTACCTCAGTTAACTCATGTGCTTATTTAAAAGATGTGTATCCCATATGTTCAGCAGTTAAACAAGCTGTGGACAAAAGTGCTCTTGTTGGCCTCCTCCTACCCCACTTGCAACTGTGTTTATCAGAAGCTCTGTTAAAGAGATTTTATTTTTTTTTTTTTTTTTTTTTTTTTTTTTTTTTTTTTTTTTTTTTAAATCTGTCAGTATTAGGTGTGCACCTTGTATCTTTCGCTGGTGTGTAAGATTCACCATAATGTCACATAGAGGGAGTAGGAAAACGGCTGTGTGTCTGTGAGCCTGTCTCCGGCTCACCAAGGCAGTGACAAGTAGCACACATCAGCCAATACAAATGGTTGAGAGGTGAATCCAGGACAATGCATTTCTTTGAAGAGTTTTTCCCGCTGGAGAGGTGGGCTGTATGTATGGTGTTTAAAACTGAGAAGATATGGATTAGGGAAAAAATAACGCCAAGCCATGAAGGACCACATGTGAAGTGGTGCTAAATGGGATGGGGTGGGCTAAGGGTGAAGCCATGCTCTAATGCTGGAAAAGTGAGGGTGCCCTCCTCCAGACTTCTGGTTTGTACCAAAAAAAATCCATGCCATATTCCACAGCTTGTATTATCAACGTTTTTCCCAACTTCTGACTTGCTGTTAGTACAGATGCGTTTAAAGGGGCCTAGATCAAATGGAAAACGCGTTTGAAATGTGCTTTAGTGTGCACAAAGCAGTGGCACATCTTTTGATCACTGACACAGAAATCTGCATGCAAATTAAACCCTCAGGCAGAGCATAGTTAGTTTGCAGCTTTTCCAATGAATGAATATGAGAAGTGGCATAAACAGAAAGAAAAGCAGCAGCACGCGTAATTTTCATTTTTTCAGAAGAAAGCATCTGTATGTAAAATATCAGGAACTGCATGACTCTCGTTTAGAAGAGAAAAAAATTTTGTAAATTTTTGTATGTAAGATTGACAGGAGTGTTTTCTGCTGCACTCTGCAGTAGGGAAAAGCCTCAATATGATTGAGAAACACTAACAGGTTTTTTTTAAATTTATTTTAAATGTTCATTGGTCTCATATATAAGGCTATTTAAGCTTAACTTGCTAACTGTGTTTCATATTAGTGAGATCTAACAGAATTTGTGCAGTGGCTTGGATTTCTTCCTGCTGTGAATGTATTTTATAAGACTGAACACAAGGAAATGTTGAATGTTACTAAAGCAAACCATCATTTCCTTTCTTAAAAGATTCTGGGAAGATCCTATCAAGACAAAGGCGTGTATTATAACTTAAAAGATATAGCCATCACTAAGTAATGTGATAAAACCCTGAAAACCGAAAATTATTCACTTTGCATTTCTTTAATTAAATGAATTCAACAGGCCACATTGGTAGTTGTCATGTTGGGTTTTTTTGTTTTCCATTCAGAAACTTCTAAAGTGTTTTTTTTTTTTATTGGGGGAAGAAGGGGATATTTGAATGTTGTACTCTTGCTTAAAATAACTGTGAGCAATGATATCAAAGCCTAAATTCTTACTGTAGAAGACCAAAGAGGTATTTTTCACTGCTCTTAAATTTGACTAATTTTATATTTTGAAATATAGGTGTTATAGGCCAAAATGTGTCCCCCATGGTAGGGACCCCAGCGCCTGGAGCAGGTCCTTTTGGACAGCAGGTGAGTGGTTTTTGCATTATTTATGAGGCTCTAAGGCTCTGAATTAGCATTTGAACTTCTCAGTTAAGACAAGTAGGGATTCAGTAGCTTTTCCCAGGGAGAATATAAATCAAATACATCGATGTATTTAGAACCAGTTAATATCTTACACTCAAGAGGGTATGTCTGTATTTATTGGCTGGATTGTTGTTAGACTGATCAGGTTCTGCCCAGTGGGATAACTTCTGCAGTATAGGCAAGACTTTGTTTTGTTTTCCTTCTACTGAACTAAGATGAGTCATTTCAACACACTATTAAGCTGCTGATAATTTAGGGTTTCCAGGCTTTGATGATGCAGAGATGATGCTGTCCACTTTCTCAGCCGTTGATGAGTAGGTAAAAACTGTTTTGTTTGCTCCCATATTTTACAAACTCATGAAGCAGATGTTCATTGGCAGGTCAGAATTTGTGAGTTTGGGTAACACATGATGATCAGATGTTCCTTCTCAGTGATTAATACAGATGAAGTGTTCAGCACACTTCCAGTTTATGGACTAAGTTTTTGTGTCATAAAGAGAAATGTGGTTTTGGTTAGAGGGTGTGAAGAAAACCAGAAGTTGAGTGAGAAAGTAGTAAAGTGTGTATGTCATGACACTGAGTTATTCCAGACCACAGGATATCTGTGCTAAGAGTTCTCAGTACTGCTTCTTAATTACAGTGGTGGGAATTCTTCTGTGTGACTATGATTTATTTGTGTGCCTGCAGTTGTTGCCCGACAGCGATTCGCATTTATTCTGTGGAAGTATCCCAGTTGTCCAAGGATCAGGATCAATTTGGATTAGATGTTTTGGAGATAAACCCTGCACTTCACAGACCACATGGTTTATGATCTAATTAGAGAAAACATGAAATAAAAAGGAGGCAAAAGGAGTAATTAAGGGTAATAGGAGGGAGGATAAATGGTGATAGTAATGGGAATATTTTTACATAGATTAGACATACGAGCGATGTTGTCTGTTAAATATGAATATGGTTTGTTTGCACTTCCTCTGTCTCTGCATCTTGGTGACCCCGAGTCCTGGATGAAGTGGGTGTCTTCCAGAGAAATTATGCCTTTGCTTGTAACCTGCTTTGAAGCTCCAGTGTATGAGGATGACCTGATGCACAGATGCAAAGCGGCTTCCCTGCAGTTCCTCAAAAGTGATCTCTCCATCACTTTGTCATTACAGATAGGAATCCTTGGCCCACCGGGACAGCAGGCACCCCCTCCATATCCCGGGCAGAGCCCAGTGAGTCAGCCAGTTATGCAGCAGCCCACAACTCCCATGTTCGTCTCCCCTCCACCAAAGACACAGAGGCTTCTTCATTCTGAAGCCTATCTGAAATATATTGAGGGGCTTAGTGCTGAATCAAATAGTATTAGCAAGTGGGACCAGACCCTTGCAGGTAAGGCTTTTGATACAGGTGGGATGTTTCCAGGCAGAACACACTTGTTTGTAACAATATTTTTTGCTTGTATGGAAAATGCTAAATAAATCTGCTACTTAATAAAATGTACATATGCAAGTAATTGTTAAAAACAAATCAGCAGACTGGGCATATATATGTTACCAGTAGGCTAATTCCATTGATGATGTATAAATCTAAGAATCAATTGTATGGGTTTTAAATACTAGGGGTAAAATTTATACCATAGAATTATATTTACCTTTTTCTAGAAAAAGGGTGGTGAATAGATGTTGGAATGGGCTACCCAGGGCAGTGGTGGAGTCCCCATCCCTGGAGGTGTTTTAAGAGTCAGGTTGATATAACACATAGGAATATGGTGTAGCTGAGAATGGTCAGTGTGAGGTTAATGGTTGGACTGGATGATTTTCAAGGTCTTTTCCAACCAAGATGATTCTGTGATTCTGTGAATATCAAAGCCAGTAGATAATCAGACCATTTCTTGACCTTCCAGCACGAAGACGAGATGTCCACTTATCAAAAGAACAAGAGAGCCGACTCCCTTCACACTGGTTGAAAAGTAAAGGGGCTCATACCACAATGGCCGATGCGTTATGGCGTCTGCGAGACTTGATGCTACGAGACACCCTTAATATCCGTCAGGCGTACAACATAGAAAATGTTTAGTCGCATAATTGCTTCTTTCTTTGATACTGGCATATAAGGAGTAAGGAGTTTTGTGGAACAATAGCTGTTTTAGTTACTGGGTGGGAAGAGATAACCAACAATAATTTGTATTGCATTTTACTGTACATTGCAAGACCATTTTTATATAAGGACACTTTTAATAAGCATATTTCACTTTTTGTTATATTAAGTTGACTTTATCAAATACACGGATTTTTGCATATGTTTCCTTTGTTTGAAAGGCGATTTCATAATTGGTTAAGTGTAGTCAAGGATTCATCTTTCTTATACTTTATTGCTGAGAATATGATGCCATTGTTTTTATATAAAAGAAGAAAAATGAAAACAAAAGTATTTACAGATTGATACAGTGGAATGTGAAATTAGTCATAGTTTACATCTTAGAAGAATGTGTGTACATGTGCTTGTGTGTGCTAGCCACTTCCAGCAGAAATCTCACTTGGATGTGAACAGGGAGGATCTCTTAAAAGAAGTTAAAGGTAAGATGTGCATTGACACTAGGGAAAAACGACATTTCAAGTCGATACCAAGGCAGCTGACTGGGCCATAGCAATCATGGAAGTGCTAGTGTGGACGGGTCAAGGGTGTCTTGACTGCTAATGTTGTCCAATCCTGTCCAGTTATTTAATTGTGTAGCCAAGGCCATTGTGATCCTAAATCAGTAACAAAATACATGTGCTGGCATGCCCTTAGAAGGTGAAATGTTTCATCTACCATGACCTGCTATGGGGGTTCTGTGATGTCCCTAACACCGAGCAGTGGGAAAGGGACACTTTCTCCCTAAGCAATTCTGTCTGCATGTAGGAGAGACATGCAGAACTTCAAACCAGTTCAGGTCTTGGAAGGTAAGTTAGAGGAGAAAGAAATTTGTTAGTGAAGTAACATGATGGTTTTTAATTAACACATGTTCTGTTCATGATTGGGCTTTGTAAGACATTTTTGTATGCTTCTTTTAAGTGTATTGTTTCACCTTAATGAAAGTTTTGCAATGCAAAATTTGGGAGAAATTTGACACTTTGAAGTAAGATACTACTGTATGGTATGTGTAAGTTCAGCATACCTAGTACGCTGGAGAAAGAGTACTTTCATTGCAGCCTTCAGTTTAGCTAAAGTAGGTATAGACTCTTCTTGCCAAATTTCAAGAGTTGTGACTACCTTCTGCTAAAGGCTTACCTGTCCTCATAACTAATCAACCTTTTGGACTGGAAGGTTATTTGTTTAAAGGTAAATAATTTCATATATTTAATTTTAGAAAAGTAATTAATACTTTTGGATTGCATTAAGTAACTGGGAAACCTATAGTAATTTGAAAAAATTGTTGGCAGGAATGTGGTTGCTGCAACACAGTCTAAAAGAACTGATTTACTGATACACTTCATTTTACTGCTAGAGATGTTCATCATGTGAAATTTTTTTTTAAAGTCTAATAGTACAGAACATTTTTCTTTGAGTACATTTGGCAGAAGGCTAAATTATTTTTCTTCAAATACTGGATATCTTGGGTTCTGTTTTGCTGATCTAATTAATACTGATGAGGGAAGTGACATGTGCAAGTACAAACTGTTATTTAATTTTACCGGCTAATTCCTCTCCCTCTCCTATTGCAATCCTCCAGTCATTGCACAGAGAACCATGTAATTACAGATAGGCACTTAAGGACAGTTTAGGTCAGATGTGCAATGGATGTGAAGAAAATGGAGCTAAGCAACATATAGGGAAATTACAGTTTTTGAACTCTACAAGTAACACACCTGTGGTACAGAAATTCTTTACTGGCCTTTGTAAATGACCAAGTTTATTTAATAAAGTAGAAACTGAATAGTCTTAGATCACCCCCATATATACAGTATCATCTTAAAATGTGTTTAAATTACCATAGGCTTTGCAATTTTTAGCCACAAAGACAGAATGTTGAAGCAAATCAGGCAGCAAATCCTAGTTTTTGAGTATTTGGAACTACCATGACTTGTACTAATACACCACCAGATTCTCCTACTTCTCAGCATTAACAAAAATGACACCAAAGAACCTGGGATGGATTTTAGTTAAGTTATTGTTTTATTTATTTTCTTTTGATGACTGGATGGGACTCCCTTTGGAGCCTGTATAACTCAGATGTTTAATTTATCTGAAGGTCAGTGATGAGCAGACTTGCAGCACTGGCTCTCTCCTGCCTGAGCAGCTGAAGCCCTCCTTTCACTGCTCTTTCCGGCCCAGGAGCAAGAGATTGGAAGTGCAAATGAAACCTGGGTCCTCCCGCAAGGCAGTGCAGAGCACTACCGCTAAGCCACTGGGCTGGCCCTAATCAATTATTTTAAGCTTTATTTATTTCAAAATCATGTCTCTGTATATTGGAGGCATTTCAGTCAATTGCAGTAAAAATTAGGATATAATGGCTACAGTCTAGAATTCAAAACCAGCAAAAGAAACTGTTTTCTGACTCTGGTTTAAAAAAAAAAAAAAAAAAAAAAAAAAAAAAAAAAAAGACATGTCTGTCTGTCTCTCTCTCTCTGGGTGTTTGAACCCCTCATTTGTTTTTCACTGCCGTTCATTGTACTGGCATAAACAAAACTTCATATTAAAATAAAAGTATGTATGGGAAATGGTTGGCTTCTGTGAGAGTGGAAAATAGATTAATCTAGGACCGGTATTTTCATAAACCAGTTGGAGACAACTAATAATTATTTGTTCTCTTCCTTCAGTCCTTCCCTTCCATGAGAATATTTACTGTTTGTGTAAAAAATCAAAACGTTGATGTTGGTGACTTTTTTTTTTTTTCAGCGTATGTTTTTGGACCTGGTTAATCCATGCTTGGCTTTTCATTAGATCTTGTACTCCTGAAGGTTAAGCTGCTAACCAGGTTTATAACATGTATGTACCATCACTTTGTTTACCTGAGTCTTTTTAATTTGAATAAAAATAGTTTGCAAAGTGTTTTGGATTAACCAGGTTTGAGTGTCCCTTCAAGACTTTTGGTAGGACTTTATTTCAAGTAATTTTGGCTGTTGCTGATCCAGATTTTATCAAGTCCTTGGTACATGTGTGCTTGTGTGTGGGTAAAGAATCCTTTTTATATTGTCTTGTGTATTGAAAGATGTGCCTGGTAGGTGCTAAGAACAGTGATTCTGAAAAACGTGGTTGAAAATTGAGCCATAAGGACCATGAACAGTAAACCTTAAAAAACATGTGACACATTGGGAACAAGCTGAGTAGAGATTATAAGATTCAGTCAGTCCCAGTTGCCTCCACATTAATTGCTTTGAATATAAACAGACAGCCTTAATTTCATAGCGGAAGCTAACCTGGTTCAGGGCTCTCTTTTATGTAGCTGTATAATAAAGGAAATGAGAGCAGTAATATGCAAAAATGCATGTTTTACACAGTATAATTAAAAACCAGAATAGAAATTTTCTTTAATACCATAAATGGCCAGAATAATTAAGTGGTATCAATTTCTTGAGTCTCAAGGTGCCTCTTGCATATGATATATGAAGAGCTATTTAAACAACCAGAACAGATAGCATTATATTTAATTAACATGCATTCATGTCTTGGACCTGGGGGATAAACCCTGCCTGTCATGCAGTCTGCCACCTTTACAGAACTTCCACCTGTCTAAAATTTGATGGTGGATGGTGCAGTTGCAGAGAGGAGACTAATTCTAATCATCTTCCACATGTTGTTTGCTCAGTCTGAGATACTGAATATCATCCGTTGATGTACATATTCCCCTCTTGACTGCAAATGCATCGGAGTGGTGTTTGCTGAGTGCTTTGAACATCAAGTAAGGAATGGGATCTGATTCATTGATATATGTGAAATTTTCTGATTAATAAAATAAACTTCATATTACTTTTGCTTGCTGCATGTTCCAGCAAGTCTAATTTTGGCCATCATACAAAAAAAAAAAATCCCAAGAGGACAGCTGCTACAGTGCAGTAGGATCTGGTGATCTTTGATAAAGAGATTCTCAGTGTCCATCAGGCCTTGGAGATAGGGTGGTCTCCTGCAGTCAGTCCTTCCTGTGCCAAGAGGGATCGGAAGTCCAGAGCAGAAGTCTAGCTATGCAGATTATCACCTGTTAAGGAGGCAGCAGGAGTGACATGAAAACAGAGAGGAATACACTGAATTGCACAGCAGAAGTAGCAAGCAGTGCAGCTCAGCCCAGGTTAAGCTAAGCATGGACAAAAATGGTGAAGGATGGTTCATCATGAAGTCTGTGCAACTCTATACAGGGAGTGCCCAAATTCAGTTTCCACTGGATGATTTTTGGGAGGACTGTAATTAATTCCCATGCAAAGCACCAACATCCAGTAACAATTACAAGGAAATTCCTTTGGACCAGTTATCCCACCAGTGCCTATTGCAGATTTTTGCATCTTTCTTGTAAGGAGCTGGGGCTGGCCATAACCAGAGCACAGGGACTGTTTTGTATGTATGAAGTCCAAAGTGAAAGCTTGCCTCCACTGTAGATGGTAGAAGTTTTGCTCCAGAGAAGAATTCGCTAATACATAACACATGACTAGTTTTTTTCCTTTTTCTACCCTTTAAAAGCTGGAACAAGACTGTTGCACCCCTGTGCCAGAGAGAAGTACAGGCTGGGGACACACACACTTGATTTACCAGAACTTCTTTTCAGTACTTCTCTGTCTGGTCACAGATCTTTCAGCAGGCAGCATCCTTGGGTGCACAACAGCAGGGAAAATGATTAACAAACAGATGCATTCTTTCTACAAAGTCATTCTGAATCGGCAGTGAAATTGTCTCTAATGCTGGAGTGATGAGCAGAGTTGCTCATGCATAAGTATTCCTGTTTATTTGCAGATGACTATTTATTGCTGCTGCTTTACGGAGTTGAAATTTTCCATGCTTGATATCTATACGGGCCTGACTTCCACACTTTGGAAAGCTTTCAGTAGCGGTGCTTTGCTAATTCTCAGGATCGCCTGCTGAAGCCACTGCAAAGTGAACACATGAGATGGCTTTGTAGATGCTGAGCTGTGTTCTGGATTGACACCAGCTGAGCTCGCTGAAGAAGGAATGGACGTGCTCAACCCCAGAACTGGCAGGGGCTCAGCAGTACTTAAAATTAAAGCTGTGTTCCTGGCTCGCTCCCGCAGTGCCTAAGAGCAGCAGCGGTGTGTTCCCAGCACAGGCCTGAGCTCCAAGCAGAAGGAGGGTTCTTGCTTCCTCCCCTTGCCTACCACCACAGGAGACAGAGCTGGGGGGGGAAGCTGGAGGATGGGAGGGAAATGGGGAGATGAGACCCAGAAAGAAGATGGGAAAGAGATTGCTGGGGAAGGCAAAGAGCACAGAACTTGGAGTCAACAGGAATAAAATGGAAACCAAATGCAGACCTTGGTTGTTGAAGATTGGGTGTAAATTAATACTAAATTAATGTTGCGCCAGGGAAGGTTTAGACTGGATATTAGGAAGTATTTCTTTACAGAAGGGGTTGTAAGGTGTTGGAATGGGCTGCCCAGGGCAGTGGAGGTGTTTAAATAGTGCTTACAGATATGGTGTAGTTGGGAACTGTCAGTGTTAGGTTAATGGTTGGACTGGGTGATCTTCAAGGTCTTTTCCAACCTTGATGATCTGTGATTCTGTAAATCCCCAAGGGTGCTCGATACTGCAACAGGCTGGCACTGGGGCCTTCCAGCAGCTCTTATTCCCAGCGTTAGTGAGACTGGCAAAATTGAAGAATGCAGAAGGATCAGTACGAGCATCTTCATTGTGGAATGAAGACTACAGTTCAGATTTCTGAATGTCAAGCTTCGTCTTCTGTCATAACAGATCTGTGTTGCTTAAAATTGTACAATATCAGCTCGGAGGAGGATTTTATTCCTGCAGTGGTCACAAAGACCACTCTCTGACATCACACTTCTGATGAGCGACTGCAGCCTGTCTCACTGTCTGTTTACCTATCTGGAGATACCTCAGATATCTTCCAGACGTGCCTGGTGCTCTCAGCTGCAAATGTGAAACAGTGCTGCAACATAAGCAAGAGCTCTTAAGTGAAAATCAGACATTGACTCACTGATGTCTGTGAAACACTCTGCTACTATTATAGGAGTACTTAAGGGAAGCTACAGCAAGTTTCCACACCAAGCTCCTCAGTACTGAAAAGTAATTAAGGCACAGGGCTATTTATTAAAAAAATAAAATACTGAAAAACTTATTTGTTCTATGGAAACCAAGCACAAGAGTTCCAGAAGACTCAAGAAGTAAAGGAAGATGGAGTAAAGGTCATCAATTTTCAAAATATTTTTATTAATGCTTTATTCTTTACTGTATTGCTACAGTCAGGATTTACTTCAGTGCAATGATCTGTGACTGCAAAAAGAAGTTTGTGGGTGAGGTTTTGAACTTGGGCTCTACATTGGAACTGAAGTCAAAATCTAGGTTATTACTTCTAAAATAGAGGGTTTCCCCAAGTAATTCATTTGCTGTCCAGTCAAAATATGTAGTGGCACAGTCACATCTTTAATTCCCCACCAGTCTTCTATCTCCTGAAAACCCAAGTAGCAGTAGTCCTCCAGAAGTCCTTGGAAGACACAACACAAAGAGCAGCAGTTACTCTCCACTTGCAGGTCAAGTACCTGCACCATAACATCTTCAAAATAGCCAGTCTCTTTAGTGGATGAAAAGGTACTTCTGTGGAAAAAGGCTGTTGGGAGTTAGCCCAGGAACGTATGTAAGTACAGGAGCTCCCTCGTTTTTGTTTTTAGGCTGATCTTAAGAATTGGCTTCTTTGTGGAACCCTCAGCATATACCCATACCATCAGAAATAAAACGATTGCATTTAACGTACGATCCTCACTGATTATACTGTCCTGGTCACCCTAAAAGTGGTCACTGACGTGCTCCCACGCACCTGACAGCTAGTGCTACTGCTCTAGGGAGCAAAAGCTCTCCAGGATAGAGCAGTGAGCTCTGTTCTGCTCTGGGGAGACAGGAGCCTGCAAACAGAATTCAGGTTTGCTAGGACTGCCACTGCGCATTCCTCTAAACTTGTGCCTGTGACCAGGTAAATGCATCAGACTTTTTTTCCCCAAAGCCCTCAGCTCAGTTCATTGTTAGAGTAGCAACAAGGGGTATTAGATTAGCAACAAGGGGTATTACAGCACTTGCAGGCAGTGGAGCCTGAATGCACGGATGACTTTCCAAACAGCATTGGCTGAGTAAACACTGAGCACAAAGTCAGTCCTCTTTTTATCTAGTCAAAATCTAGGCACACTGGAAAGAAAACAAATTGGGTGCCAGAGCAGTTTCTATCAGTACAAAGGAAACGAACTAAAAATTACTATTTCCATTGTGCTGAGATATTATGTATGCAATATGTAACACTGCTTTCCCATTGGCTTTGTCACAATAATGGTGTCTCATCAAGCAAAGAAAAGCAGTAGCCAGACTGTTTACTCAGTTTAGTTTATTTAAAAGTACTAAGCAAACATTAAATAAGAGGTGGATGCCTAAACACAATGAAATTTTCACTGTTGTATTTGGCTTAAATACAAAATATTAAAGATGTGAAGTAGATGGAAGAATAAAACTGCCAAAGTCATCTGAGAGTGTCTTACACACACTTGTGGATTACACTTCATCTTGCAGAGACAAAATCTTCCCCTACCATCAGCATGGCACTGATGCTTCTTTGATATTAACACAGTTGAAAGTATTCAGGACCTTCCCCTTGAAACATTTCAGCTAAAATTCATTTTTTCCCATCCTTGCCTCATATTGTCTTTCAGATCGTTTCCTGCGGTAAACATCATCTGCCAGAAAAAGATTTTTTTTATATTAGCATTTTCCAAGTGTAAGATAGTATTAAATTTATGAAGCCTGTCTTCTTCTTTACTTTTCAATCCAGTTTTCTCTTGAAGACACTGACTTGACAGGCAACTGAAATTCAAGCCAACACAAATCCTTATTAAAAATAGCTCATGTTCTCCCTCCCATCCAGGCTAAAGTTCTTCCCATCAGTCCTGATTAAATGTTTTTATAGGGAAACTAAGTTTCCAGTGTGATACACTCATTTCTTGTCTACTTTCCCACGAGGGTAATTAAAAAACCAAATGCCCAAACTAACTGAAGCCAAAGGGAAATTAAATTATAGGCACAAAGTCTGCCTGAGGTCTGCCAGTATGGCTTCAGTATATTATTTTTTTTAAAACAAAACATAGGAATCTGCCCACTTTCACTGTCTTCCTCATCGTTTTTTCTGCCTCCCCTCACCCTGATTACCCCTAAATACCTATTGCAAACAAAAAAAATATCTCACCAAAAAAAATTATTGGTCTTGTACATTATCATGTTGCATGGATTATGGATCAGTAATAAAGCTAAATTGCACAATTATTACTGTAGTATAGTATCAGGCATAGCAATTCTTTTGCAAGAAAATAAGGCTCGAGTTGAAATGTAACAGCTGCTACATGGATGTCGTGCTTTAGTTTCTAACCTGGCTTTATTACTATACAGGTACACCTCAAATATTTAACTGAAAAACCACAACCTAAACCTTCATAAGTGAGCAGAGAAGCAATTTTGTTTGCAGTGAGTTTGTGAGCTATGGAAATTGTATCAATCTTTTATTCTGCAGGAGACTCAACTAGACTTCCTGTGTAAGAATATTTCGATCTAACATACAGTGGAGCTGATCCTTTTTCTTAAGTGCACAAAAATTTCTAGCAAGATCTCTCAAAGGGAAGAATGCCACATTAAAACTAAATGGTTTAATTCTAGCAACTAAGTGCCATTAGCTAAGTTCTAGTGACATACTCCTTTTCCTGCTTTTTTCATTGAAAAAGTGACACTTCAGATGAACCCACACCTACACTTAAATTATGACAACCCTGGTGAGTATTGTTTCAATGTAAAAAAAAAAAAAAAATTTGTATTCTAAATCCCTTTTTTTTTGTTTCTGCCCAGTGTCTTCTGCTAGGGAGGCAGAAGCCGGAGTGTCACACCCTGCGCTCGGGAGAAGTGGCTGGCTGACTCGTTACAGGCCTCCAGGTGAGGACCGCGCCGTCAGGCCCTGCCAACTCGTCGTAGCTCTCGTTCAGGGGAGCCGGCCCGTCGCGTTCAGCACTGGCAGGTGCCGCGGCACACGGTACCGGACCAGCCCCGGGGCTGCTCCGGGTCCGGGGGTGCTGGGGTGAGGGACCGCGCCTCCTCCTGCCGCCCCCCGGCCCTCACTTACAAAAGGTCTCCTTGCCGATGCGGACGTTGATCATGAACCCCTCCATCGCTCCCCCGAGGAGGAAGAAGAAGGGCAGGAACCTGTACACGCCGAAGCGCCGCTTCCCAGGCACCAGCCGCAAGAGGCGCCTCACCCTCCTGCTCACCAGCATGGCCGGGGCGGGATCGGCGCCTTCCGCGGTTCACGGACAGAGAAGAAAACAGGGGGAGGCGTGTCAGAGGCGGATCGAGACGGACAACAGCCCCCAGCGCTTACCGGGAGGCCAAGCCCGCTGCGGGGGAGCCCCGGGCCGCACTCTCCCCCTCCTCCCCGTTACGCTGGTGGAAGGGTGATGGGCGGAGCGCCCGGGCCCAGCTTCGCCC